CATGGAGCTCGCCGGGCCAGGGAGCTCGGTTTCTTTCTACCTCCCGGTCGATGGTTAGACGAAGTGCTGTTCAAATATCGATGCTCGTTCTGCTTTCCCCCCACAATCACCCGAAACTATTTTGAGTTATTCTGACGGACAGTTGCTCGCTTCCGTTTTATTTTCAACTTCGTTTTCCGCCTGTATCGTCGGCTGACGGGCTCCCTCGGAAAGCTCCGGTCAAGGAGCCCGTTCAAGTGCCGTCGCCCAGGATGGAGCGGGTCTGTCGAAGATGCTGAAAAAAGAATCACTTCAGACGACACCCCAGACTTGTTCCGGCAACGTATCTCCATTCTTCCTTGAACAACGATCGGCCAGATCGAATGTCAGATGCCGTTGTAGCTCAAAGAAAAAGAGGAGCTCCGTCGAAAATTCATGATGGAAAATTACGGACGATCCCCCGTCGATAATCGAGTCGGAAGGGAGTCGTAGAGCTTCGCACTCTCATAAACAATAAGTGGTCAAAACATCTTAAGTTGGGAGTGCTCTTCCCCGGTACGACTTATCGACTCAATGGAGATCTCGTATGATTGGACCGATGAACGCACTGATAGTGAGCTGGGTTCTAGTCATCACCGCCGTTGATCCCGCGCTCGTCTTTCTCTCTGAAGTCACAGCGGATCGAGCGCTGGTCCTCAAGGGACTCATCGGAGCGTGTGATTTCATAAAACTCCACATCTGCCCAGCGGTCAGCGATGCACTAATTTCGCTTCCGGTCGAGGAAGAAACAAAAAATAAGGGAAGAAACCCGCAATCTGTCATCAGTATCGTCGCTAGAGGAATCCAGGCGGCGAAACCCAAGCAGCGCCAATCTCAGAGGACATCGACGAACTCGTCTCCCGCGAAGAGTAGGTACCAGAAGAGTACTGAGTGAGTCGGATTCCGTTGAATGAGTCCTCGCGGAGCGCTGAACTCGAACGCCCGTCTCTGCAACGTAATTCCCGCGGATCATGCGTCAGGAATTTCTGGCAACTGCCTCTCGGTCGTGATGCACTCCATTCATGGTTCGCCGCGATCGACACGGGTTTTTGTCGGAACCGGAACATCCGAGAATCCGCGCTTCCGTTCAAAGGGCGGAGATTTTTCGAGAGCAGGTTTCCAAGGAAAGATTTTTTCGTCCCGAGAGGTTCACCGGCCGCACGCGAACAACAGGAGAACTTTCGCTGGCCCGTGTCGACACCGTCGTTGAGTACCTGAGTACCTGAATCCCTCCGGTTAGGAGCACGTGAATCATAGGGTGGACGTTATTGGCCGAATGACTCCTTCAAGAGAGCGAGAATGGAGAATTCGCGCTTAGACACTATGTAAACACTGAGTGAGACACAGCAACGGCGGACATCACAAGGCCATGGATCACTTCTATTTTTGGTCGTCCCAGCGAGCACGTGATCGCCGTACGGCTAGTATACGGAGCCGTTCTTGTATTCATTTTTCTCGAAAGTTACACATCGGAGGACGATTTCATGGTCGCTCTCAGGGGTTTCGTGCAAACTAATTGCGAATGTGATTTCCGAATTCGATTTCCGAAAAAATGAGGATTAGGAAGCCGCGAAATCAGTGGTTGGTTCTGATCGTGCGAGCATCGTGTGGGATGCTTCATCTGCGACGTCGGCGGTCAGGAATGACCAACCTCGTCGCACCGACGATATCGACTCGTCTAAACGCCGAAACAATGGGTACAGAGTCAAGACTCGCTTCTTGAAAAAGCACTTGACGTCGGTGACGAGCGACGTGATGACCAGAAAGCGAATCCATCCTACGAAAATCGTTCGCTACCTTGCCCGTTTCATTTTGGAACGTTTCGCTTCGACCATTCGGAAAGCGAAATGGGACTCACGAAGGGGACCGATGTATACTCACCGTTGAGCGGAATAAACAGTCCCCGACGCAGCGAAGAGCGCAATGGACTCATCTATCTTTCTGACAATTAAAAGCCAGTCAGTTGGACCTTTTATTTCGTCTCACCGCTTGATTGAGTAGAGCTTTGATGAATGAATTGTGAACGCCTTCGAAAGTTCGCTCGGTTTTCGTGAGTCATGCCCCAGCCTACATTGACATAGGAGAAAACATCGACGGTGCCTCAAATCGGGAGGAGCACCGATGGACGATTTCTTGACGACTTCAGGAGGTATTCGACGAATAAATTCCATGAATCAGAGAATCCGAATTAGACGGCGAGGGATTGAGTCAAAAATCGGTCTTGCGACGGAAAGCGAGATCACCATCGACTCTCAGCCGTCATGAATTAGAATCTGGCTCGAGATATTTGATCTCTCAGGGGGAATATGAGAATGTTCAATGCTACGATTTGTATCGAAGTTGTCTCCATTGAGTCACACGAATCGACCGCAAGCGGAAACCAGCAAACCACAGTCTCTTTTCCGTCTCGTGCCGTCTCCGATCGATGTGTCCATCCATCTCACATCATAGTTAGCGAGTCGCACATGCCGAATGAGCCAGGATCTGTTTCATATCGCAGACGAATCTTTTCAGACAATATCGAATTCATAACAATGGTTACGCAAGCGACATATTCCGCCTGAGCGAGCGACGCGGGTTGGCTTGAGCCGCTAGTCTCTGCCGAGCGTGAACTTCCGTCGCGCTGCTCCTGCGTTGGATTAGCTGACAACAGATGAATCCGCAGAAAAAGCTCTACTTATTCTGGAGCGACGGGGAATCAGTGAAAAAGCGATGCCTAGACGCTAAACGGAAGGAGGAACCGCGCACATTGCGGGGTGTGGTCTTTCGCGGTGACTTCGTTGAGCGCGAGAAACCTCACGGACGTAGACAGAGACCTCTTGCTACGCAGCTAGGAGGGAATTCATTTTCTCAACACATTCGCGGAGTCAGGCGAAAGAGGTATCGATGAATTTACGGGCAACGAATGCCGTAGAATATTCGGGGAGAATAGCAGAGTGCATTTTTACGAGACGTTGCTGTTTGTCCAGGGTCGACTACGATCGCGACACCGGCCCGGCCGGCGCCGTGCGTCGCTGAGCCGAACAGAAGGTGTTGAAGTGAAGCAAGGCATCGGTCCGACTTTAGAGCGCGATCCGATTCAGACCTGGAGTTGCAGCGAGTGGACGCACAATGAAGCTGGAAGTCGACGTCTCGACGTCGCGTCGTCGTTGCAGTGGCCACAAGGAGCGCTCAGAATCTTCTAATCGCCGTGGTCAACCGGTAGCGAAGATTTTGGCCACGAATGCGTCTTCTTCCTCGTGCGCTTCTCTTTGAATGTACTACGGAGCTTCTGGTGCTGGCTAGGACCGTCTCTGTTTTCTCCTCGTCGGTCGTAGTCTTGCCGCTCTTTCACGTCGACGTCAGTACAGGCACTTGAATTAACGCCGCCGTGAACCGGCTACCTAGGTGAGGGACTGCCTCACGAATCAAGTGGCCAAGGTTGAGAGCACTGTTCTGGCCGCTGCTCGAATGCGCAACAGCTACCGAAGCCAGATTTGGAAAATTCGCCGTCCGTAGGCATCTGATTCGGGCAAACGTCATGTCTTGTCCGGTCCGCGCGGATTTCCGGATTTGACCCCAGTGCTTCGACCAGTTCGTCGTCATCCTCACTATGTGTGCATAGACCTCCCGTACTACGTACTCACTGCATCGGGGTTCCACACGGACGCGATTCCGGTCACTTCAGAGACCCGCAGGTTCCCCGAAAAACGAGCCAGAGGGTGACGACGTTCTTCTCGGAAAGAGCACCTTGCAAGTGAATGTCGAAAGACGCGACTGCGGTCAGGTGTCGAATTCGAAACCAGTCCAGTTCGAAAGTGGTGTTGGACTCGTCTTATCGTCGTCTCTCCATCTCCAGCGTCCAGTGTGTCGATCGGAAGGGAGCCGCGAGTAGTGCATTGCAGTAGCCGCGGCAGATGTAAACACGTTTTGTCGACCGACCGTAAAGGCTGCGGTTTCCGCCGCCCGCGACTGACGAATTGTACAGTTAGTGTAGAATATGCCGCCGCACCTAAGATGGCTTTATGGCACAACTCCATCGCTCGATGCGCGATCTACTCCATGGTTCTGCTCAGGAACGGGCTCCGTGAGGACACGTCGATCCAGGCCGAGATGCGGGAAAAAGTTTTCCGCCAGTCGATCGATCCCCTCATCAACGAAACGTGCTACTACCGCTGGAACGTGTTGTTGGAGTTGGATCTCATTTTGTTTCTGTGCGCTCTCTTGTTCGTCGCAGTGGCGTTCAAACTGTGCCGGAGGCTTTCGAAACGCTCAACGCGGAGAAAACGTCTCGCCATCGTCGCTCCGCAACGGGCTCCGGCGGAATTGTCCGCTAGTGTGGAAACCGCAACGGAAGAGATCGCACCGGCAATCCTTCCACTCGGCGCGGTCGTGGAAGACTCTCCCTCGAAAACGGCGAGGACCCGAAAACCGCGAAGGCCGAGTTCCGCTCCGGTCGCTGTGAATCCTCCGGACAGTTCCGAAGTCGCGGTTCAGGAAGGAGACGGAGAGTGGCATACCGTGGGCCGCCGAAAGAGAAACAAATCGAAGAAGCTCGTGCCTCAATACGAGGTCGGAGCTTCGGGGATCCCAATCTGCGGCAACGGCTACGGCAATCACTCGGAGGTCGGATCGTCTTCCAACGCCGGATCATCTCCCCGTGCGGATCGATTGATTGATTCCGGAGCCGAGCAGCTCGAGCAAAATCAATCAGACTTGCGAAGTTCGTTCTCCTCCTCACATGGCTGAGACAGATCCAAATTTTCTTGCTCCTAGTACTCCAGCTCATGAGCATCTAGGTCTTGATTAGGCTGAGTAGGCAATAGCGTAGACTAGTCATAGGAAGACGAGCAACGTGACTCAAGAACTAGGTGCTCTCGGCACTCCCGAGCCGTCACTGAGCTATGACGAGCGCCTCCTGTCGCAAGCAGCATCGAATACCGCTCGCGGAAAGCTCCGACTGACTACAGCATCCCTCTGATCCTACACTCTTTCATTTGCAGATGAGCGAGACGCTATCCAGAAGAAAACCTTCACCAAGTGGGTCAACAAGCATCTTGTCAAGGTGAGCTGGGGGAATCCTCGTCGTGGTGGTCTCCGTCAACTTTCTCGATTAGAGTCTGGAACTCTCTCATCTGTGAATGCATTCTACGCTTATTGGAGTCCATCGGTGGATCCATCCTGATGTGGCATAAGCTCGACCGACCTGACCACATCATGCGCAACACAATGACGAAACCCGACTTCTGGTTTCGTCTAGCCTACTAGGTTTCGAAATGGTGAATTCGATAGTTGGAGCGTGGTGGAGTTGCCGTGCTTGACTGCAGCGAGTCCGTTATCTCATCAATTGCCTCCATCGAGACAGTATGGAACAGTTTGATCCGTTCTTTTCTCTCCCGAAACGGTTCGAACATTGCTCGAAGCAGATGCTCAGCCCTCTGAGTTGGGAACAACCTCTCAATCCCCGGATGGGAGGAACGTCCGACTCATTTTGGGTTTATCCAGAGCTAAAGGCAGGAGCGGTTGCCCCTATGATGCTGATCTGACCTTTTTGCAAACTTGAACGAATTACGTTGTCGTCATCAATTCCAGGCTGAAAGGATGAGTTTCATGTCTGACTCGGCTGTCGAGGCCGATAAAGATGGGGGAATCACAGGTCAATCAGCATTTTCTTCAAAATTATAGGCCATGTGCGGGACAAATGCTCGTGGAGGGGGTAGCTCAAATCACTCTCCGGGAACCGTCCAAGCTATTCTTCAGTCACTCCCTGTCAACGAATTGGTTACCGTAGTTCTGAGACGGAGAGCCCGACTATTAGCCATTGTCTCGGTTTTAAGAGCTGTCATAAACATCGGATCGAATACTTTTCGCTCCAGACGATCTATGGATCCAATCCTCTCACTTTCGACAGCTTCATGCTCCGGAAGGCTGCGTGAAGACTGACGAATCGAACCATGTTACTATTCAGATAGTATTGTTCCCACCGAGCTTCGGAGTCAGCCTTCTTGAAAAATCAGGCAGCTCGAGGGACAATGACTCGTAAACTGAAATTCCTCGCATTTTCTCGGCTTTTTCAATCACGACTCTCGACCGTACGTATCCATGATGGATACGCGGCGGTTTCTGGGAAAATCCGGTTCTGGAAGTCATTCCCATCGCCGGAGAGGGGAATTCTTATTCAATGAAGCGACAGAGTCCTGAGAGTTTGCGTCTGTGGAGTTTTGGTGGGGACATCCCCTTTCGATCCAGCTCATGAACGGGGCACTTGCCAATGGCAGGTTTTAGGTGCTCCTTAGGTAGCTCGACCTATTTCGGACTTAGCGACTAGCTCCAGGCCTAGTGTATGATAGGAAATTGGAGTATTGGAGCTCAGGGAAGGGATATCATTAGAATTAACGCTCTCCTTCCCTAACGCATGCAGCATCTCAAAGTGGCCCTGCAGGTGGGTAGCTGGCGGTCGAGTTTTCCAATGCTATAGCTTGCTCAATGTACCAGACGATAAGTTGTGGTGGTACTGACGGAGTCGCCCAGGCTGATTCGTTCGATCCTCGCTCAGCAAGAAATAATCCTCGAGTACGAGTCCTCCTCAACTACCTTGAAATTCAGATCTCGTCATTTCATCGGAATTGTTCTTTGGCTGACTGATTTGCACGAATCGTGGCGCCGAACTCTATACGGGTCGGAGGCAGAAAAGTTCTTCGGTGTCTCCCGAGGTGAAGTCGACGCGGATATCTGGGCGAACCGTGAGCTTACCGATACCAGCAGACAGGCGGTATCTAACGGTGACGCAAAAATATTTCTTGTATTTCAATCTCTCACGGAATTCCATCAGGCCTACACTTGTCTTCACGTGTGTAGTGATGTTTGCTGCTCACCCACCGTAAGTTTCGGAGGTTTAGAGTTCATCGCGTGGTTCTGTCCTGGATTATGTTTCCCTTCAATCAGCTACTTCGTTGAATTCAAATCATGGATAATACTCTGTAAACCTATTTGTACAGAATTGTACTGAATTCATTTCGTCGAACCTTTCTGTTGAATTCTCGAAGAAGTCGACCAGATAAGCTCTTGATTTCTCGTTCAAGGAGTTCTAGTCAGGGTTCTTTCCTTTAGACTGCGTCAGGGCTTCAATTTTTGCTTTATTTCGCTGAATATACGGATGAGAGTGGAAGTCGTTCTGCATGCGAACTCGTGTGAAGATGGGCTGCAGAGCGAGTGTCGGCGGGTGAGAGTTGATATCGAGGCAGAAAGCGCATGTAGGGCGCATAATACGCGCCGATCTACTCGACGGCAGAAATCGAATCGAAAGATTCCGACATTGCCGTCCAACGAGTCGATCGTGTAAACATGCGCACGTAGGGAAACTGATCTCTGCCCAGTGTTTTCGATCCTCCGAGACGAATACCTGGATCGAATCTATTACAACCATGTCAATTTTCTCATCCATGCCGATGCCAGACATTACGTCGACGCAAGGAAGCGGACTCCGTAAGTTGTTCCCTCATTCAAAAGGTGTCGACGAATCGCACTCATCTGCTGCGCAACTTCACGCCAAATGAAATGTTCAGTAGAGGACGCAGCACGCTTAAGAAGCGTTCCTCACGTCGATCGGGCCTGAAGCGAAGCTCCCTAACAGTCATACCGGACGATCTTGGTGTCGTCCTTGACGAACAACGACAAGAGGTAGACCTATGACGCTACCGGATTTTCTTGAGTTTGAAAGCACCGCTTGGCTCTGGCGCACTGGATTCCGTAGTCATGAAGAGGAGATCCGTTCATATACTTGTCCGAGACGTTTATCGATCTCTCCGAAAAATCCCTGAGAATCTACGGATTTGATTCCGGCACCGACAGAAATCGCACCATTCGAGCCACAGTGTTGGATAATCACCGACACGAACTCACGTCTGTGATTCGAAAAACGTTCCGAGACCATGAAAACTGGAGGTCCGATCAGGAATGAGCTCGAAAAGGCACTCGAAGCTCTTTTGAAGAGCGTAGCTTGAACTTGAGGCACTCGCGACGCTCCTCACGACGAAGCATTTTGGCAGTAGGATCGAAGCTTGAATAGATTCGAACACTTCTCATTCAATTCACAGGCGGGTCGTCGGGTGGACGATCTTTTCGAAGACCTCAAGGATGGCCACAGCCTGCTATCTCTCTTGGAAGTACTTTCCGGAGAATTCCTCTCGAGGGAAAAGGGTCGTATGCGGTTTCATCAGTTGCAGAATGTCGAGTCGGTGCTGAACTTCCTGCGTTCGAAAAATGTAAGTGACGCCACAGTTCGACTCGACCCATTTCTGGATGGGCCGCCCGAAATTTTATATGCCCCGCTAGTCCTGGGCTCAACAAAAGTCTCACGGTTTTCTCTTTTTTGACTCCGATTCTCTAGGTGAAGACAGTCAACATTCGACCGGAGGACATCGTCGATGGTAACCCAAAACTCACACTCGGACTGATCTGGACGATCATCCTGCATTTCCAGGTGAGTTTACCCCTCCAGGTGTCCCCAGCATCCAGGTGGTTCCTCCACGATCAGCATGCGAAAACCGGCCCGTGCCGTGGTTGTCGCAGAGACGTGAATAAGGAATCATTCCCTGTGCCGTTCACGGAACTATTCGAAGGTTGGCGCTCGGGGTACAGTACGCTTGTCGGCAGACAGAGGGCGCTACCGGGTACTTCGGTGATGGCATGTCATATTTGTTCTAACGGGCCTATGCGGTCCCAGAGCCTGCTGTCTGTGCCCTGTGTCAGTCACATATGCCGACGGCTCTGCGGGAGCTCGCTGTCAATGTTGACGCGGCAAACCGTGTTGAAATGTATTGTTGAAGCCCGCCAACTCAGGAATTTCGCAATTGACAAATTCACTGTTACAACTGGAGTTATCTGTTTGTTTCGGAAGTCGAACGAGCGCAGAAGTCCGACGAACACTGTGCCCGTCCGTCTCTCAAAGTCGGAAACTCATGTCGCCTGAATCGGTGGTCTCGTTTGGAAATCGAGAAGAGCTATCGGGCGGAATTCCTTTCCGGCGTCCGTAAGCGCGGAAATTCGCCCACCGGCGGCTTTTGTCTCTGGCATACTGAGACTTGGCCATGCAGAAGTGGGATGTCGCCGCTGCCGTAGACCGACGCAACACTGTCCACTGGTTTCTTGTCTACGGTGTTTGTCGTGGGAGCGGAACTCCATCGACATGTGGACGATGCCGTTCCATGTCGTCAATCTTCTTGGTTAAGCGCCGGCACCGAGCCGTTTCGTGAATCCGAACCTCTCCCAATATCGATGCAGCACCGGTGACCTCCGACCGACTCTGGGGTCCGCTCGCGGATGTTCCGCGCGTGGGACTTCGTCCTCCCAAGGAGCCCATTCGGGAGCATCCGGGGGACTTTGATCTTCTGTGATCTTTTACTCCACTTCATTCAATCTACAACAAGCAAAATACTCCGCGGCGAAGCACTCCCTCGTTCTGTCGCTGCCTTCAATGCCGGAGTTGACGCAGCGAAGAGGCGGCCGGCGGCTTGAATATGCATGAGAACTAGAAAAGTTTGCCGACAGGATGCACTAGAATACTCGCGACGAGCATCCCCAGTCCCGATTTCATACATTCGTGAATGCTTGGCGGAGAAGGGTGAGGGCTGAGTCAGCCTAACGCAAGACGACTGAATGGAGACTTTGCGCTCCCGAGCTCGGAACGTCGAAGAGTTCTCCCCGAATCCGTTCTCGCGAGCGAAGTATGGAGGATCGAGGCTATTCATTCCCCGCAACATAGGAAGTTGGTTCAAACAACCAAGGAGAGCTCGATTACCCCACCAAGAGAAACTCATTCCGGAGGCTCGATGAAGGAGAAGGCCGCAGCGATCTCTCGTCTGATCGTTGGCACCAGGTTTCGAATTGACCTCCCTGCGGTACCGGCGAGCGAGGTCTTCCACGTTCTCTATTTGTATTTGGGATATAATGGCAATCACTAAGGGAGCATGAATCGAGGAGCGGAATCGACGAAGAATGTAACAGCTCCGATCATACAGCCGTACATCGGGTATCCGAGAGGAGAAGATATATCTCGTTCCGAGAAAAACAAGTGAATTTCTCCGTCCCAGACAGCAAAATCCGTAGCCAATCGCAAATCACGCGTCCAAGATACGTTCCGGCTTCGGCAGCATGTAATTCGTCGCTGTTTCTCACTCGTCTTCGTTGTAATAAGCTCAACTTTTTCAATTTTACGCTTTAACGGGCTCCGAGTTGTCAGTAGATACGCGAGTATACGCTTTCTGAGTAGCGATACCTTCATTTGTTGGAATTGTCTTGCGCGTGTTTCCGGATTGATCGATTCGCAGGGGGGTCGTAGGTAGTCACACCGGACCGACCGCCGTCCCTCCTTCGGCGAGCCAGCCAGCCAGCTAGCGAGCGGGACCGAATATACGTTCACGCTTAATTGATTGAGCATTCCTGATGGGGACGACGAAGAGAAAACAAAAACTTCGGATCGAGGGTCGTCGATTGTTGTTCTTCGGTTGGTGTCCGAACGGGTGGCTGCTGTCTTCACCTGATCGTAAGCTAGTGCACTGTTTCACGCTGGTAAGGTTCAGGCCAGGCGAGGGTTGGTCACGAACCTCGTCCTCACGAAGACCTACGCCCAACCAGCCGTTACTACAGATGTCTGAACCTCAAACGGATAGATACGTGCCGCGATGCCACATCTCAACAGCCGCCATCATATCCGCTGGTGTTGTATGATGTGCTACTGCTGCCGAAAAGCGAGCTCGTAGGCCGCGTACACTGGCTCGGACTAGGATGGGAAATGGCTCAAGCAAAGTCCGCTGCCTCAACTCGCGATGCCTCGAAGGTGGAGGAGCTCTTCGGAGTCCCTGTCTGGACGATTGTAGACCGAAGTGTGCCGATGCAGTGAGCTCGTGTTCTTGTATACCATCGAGAAGGGTTTGTGTTCTTAATTCTTTCGTTTCTCCTCGACGCAACGTCTCCCCGCCGAAAAACCTCAAGTCGACTTGCGGGGTATTCCTCCTACTAATAATTGAATACGTTCCTCCGGAGCGGACGCCCCCTACCGGGGAGAATCTGGAGAAAATCATTCCTCGTCGCTCCTTCTGAGATAGGATTCTGGCAAGAGAGGGACATGTCTCGCATCATGTAGAGAGTGATCTGCGGATTACGCCTGGCAAGATCTGTGGTGAAGTCCGAATCAGTCCTTTTCTGAACTCGATGAGCATCGCGCAACGCATTCCAAGGTCCCGGAGGCTCTTTCCACTATTTAGTTCCTCCGACCCGTCGACCGTTTCCGAAGCTGTCGGATCGAGCATGATTGAGCGATGGGTTCGCCGGCACACAATAATTTGCATAAAATGAATTCTGAAAAATCACTGATTCGATGCGCTTGGGCTCGACTTCGCATTTGTCATTCCTCGAGCCGAGTGAATCTGAACTCAGTGAGGTTTTTCGATTTCTCGAAACTCGATATCGCTCTTCCGGAGCCCTGAGATTCCCGGAAGGATTGTGACAGATTGTGTTTGAAATATTGCCCTCCGTACCCTCTAGATACTCCTCTGAAGCACTCTCCATTCTCCGCTTCTATCGGGTTTGTGATCAAATTCTGTCATAGTGATGGCGCCCGAATTTCCGACTCGAGAAAGCCCGAAAGCACCATTCGTATTTTGGCTTCTGACTGAATACGGCAACAATCTGCCGTCGACACCGTAGTAGAACAACAACAACGTGAGACTTTTTTGGAAGTGAAAGCCTATCCCACTCGTTGGGACAGTTCACGTAGGCGTCCTTCGATGCGTATTGCTTATTTGGCTCTATATACAACAACGAACTTCTTCGGTACGGTCACACAAATCATTTTTGAGCGCGTTTGAAGTCACGTTACGAGATCCTGTCGATTTCATTCATTCATGCTTCCGAATACTGAAACCGACGGTTCGAGCGCGCCCATTTTTCTTGTTGTTCAACGTTCCCGCGGAAGCGACCGTAAGAGTGCGCGATGTCGACGGCCGGAACAAGTGTCAATCCCGCCGGATTTGTCGCTTCGGTAGCTGCTGTGCTGACAATTCAATCGACATTCATTCATTCATTTGTTCCATCGAAAGTGACCAAAGTATATTTTTTTGCTATCCCGCCGGCGCGGCGACGAAATTGGCCTTTCGCTTGGATTCCACAAGCATCAGTACGAAAACGCTTTGATAGGGCGTGACAATGCGATTCTCGCATTCTTTCGCATTTTCTGGAGACCTCACTTCTCCCACGCGAGTTGTCTGTCATTGACTAAATCGGAAGTGCGTCCGAAAATGCAGACAGAAAACTCCTCGGCGGCAGCAGCGATGTCTGAAAAAGAAATAGATTATGTAAATTCACCGTGACGGAGCCTGAATGGGGGCAGATACAAATCGGGACATCCTTCAATAATTTTAAAAGATGCGATCCTCATGAGTTCACGCAGGCTCTCGTCATTTGTCACAAGTAAAAACTCCGCGCGGAGCTACAATTCCTTGGATGTCGACGAGAAATTAAATTATTCATCGGTGTTCCGAGGAATAACGGAGGCATTATGGATTTCCGAACCCTCGAGTATGAGAAAGCTCTTGAGACGGTCTGTCATCAGAGCTCCTGAAATTGAACGAAGGGAGACTTGAACATCCCGGACGCTGAGCATGCATGACTCCGATTGAATCGGTCGACAAGTAGTCTGGTAGTCTGCGAGCCGGAGACGCGAAGGAAGTTCCAAGGATTCTCGATCGACATGGATCGACAAGGATTCCGGTCGGAGTTCGAGGTCCTAGAGAAGTCCCCGGACCTTGGGTCAGGAGCATCGAGATCGTACTGTCTCGCGAGTTTCTCCGAAAGGGAACAAGGCGCAAGTTCGCACGCGATATTCCGACGCATTCGAATCTCATGTTTGTTGAAGCTTGTCTTGCAAATGAACGCCGACTGGACTTTCTGTTGCAAGTGGTTGTACCTGTACCAAATTTGGAGTTCGTCTCCATCCCACTCTGACGAACACGGCGACGACGACAACAACGACCGTGGCGGCGGGCGGGCGACCGGCAGACCGGCCGGTCGGTTCTTGGGTATGCCATCGGTGGATTCGTCGGTGGCGGTGCCGCCGCCGCGGCGTCGGTGCTGCGGTTGCTGCTGGTTATGAGGGTGAGGATCAGGATTTCCTTTCCCAACGCCAACGTCGCTTTTACCAAACTGATTGAGGCAGCCAGCGATGTAGTGCGCCCGACAACTGTTGTATATACTTCACTGGACGGGATCAGCCGGTTAACCAACCCCCCGTCTCGTAGTGTTTTTTTCCCCGTCGCTTCCTTTTTGTTTTTGTTGTGCCCCGAGTGAGATTCATTCCGTTACTGTTGGGATAAAGTGTCGCTCAAGGATCGCCGGTTTTCGCGCGAACAGAAACCAGTGCAGTGCCAAACAGTGACCCTGTGCCAAACTCGCATTTCCGCCTGCGCGGATCCGTCGGTCGCGGAGGATGTACTCCTTCGTGAAGGGAGGTTCTCGACTCTACGTGAAGGGTCGACGCGAGGACGATGAGGAAGAGGAAAGACCGTCGTCCTCTTCGAGGCAGCTGATGGTGCGCGACGAGCCCCGTCAGCAGATGGCCTCGGCCTCGCAAGAGTCTCGAGAGTCGTTCCGGACGCAGCAGATGCGCTCCGGTATCAAGACCGTTCATACGTCACGTGTCGTTCGCAAAACGACCACTGTCACTGCCGGGGAAGAACAGACTACAGCTGTTGCGGAACACCGATCCGAGCTCCGAGCCATTCGCTCCTCGGACTCCGACATCAAACGGCAGAGGGTAAGCGATTGCGGGAGTGAAAAACGTTTTATCGCAAGCCAGCGTTCGATGGAAAAAATCATAATCTCGTTCTCGCGGCCGCCGCCGTTAAACGAGAAACGGAGAAAAAAAACAGCTGATCGTTGTTGAATCTAAACATCAGTGCAGCGAGCGGGCAGCACCTGTCGTCCGAAGGAAGCCGCTCACAGCGGGCTCATGGATCACCCTCGGAAGGGGTCTCAATACTAAGAAAGAGAAATGGCGGGCTGATAATTATTCAATACGAGAAGTCTTGCTTCTGGAAATTTCAATAACAACAAATCGGGTTGGATGCGGGAACGCTTGCGTAGCCTTTGCTCGGTCATTGTAGAACGGTTCCTTCACGGTACCGTATCAACGGGGGATCCCTGTGGAAAGCTCTCTGTGTGGGAAACGGTTCGGATTCGAGCACTGAATTTCGAACCACCGTTGGGATTTTCCCTAGAATATCAATTCCATCGTTCGCGACGGTTGGCAGAAGACGATTTCTGACAGTGTGCTCAAGAGGCGTCGCGTCGTAAGCAGAAAACGGAGAAAAATAAACACTTGACAGGCGGGAAAATCGCGCTGGTAGCTGCGCGTTCGTAGGTTTAGGGTCTCCTGCATCCAGCGATGTATGTATTCGAGCGTTTCGACCCGCTTCGTCATCTCCACATTGTGAGCCCGACGTGCCGATGACGAATGTGAGCTTTTGGCTCAATCCGTTGCGATGCTCGGGGGACTCTATCAGCCGAGTCTCCGGTTCCAAGAAACGGAGCTCACGGATGGAAATCGGGGATGAATGATTTCGGAACAATGTTTATCGAATGAGTTGAGGTCTCTCCCTTCCCGTGCGCGGTACGCTCAGACTCTCATGCTATGGTCGAGCCTGACGCTCAGGGTCCGAGTCGACCCAGTCCCATGCGGCGACATTTACTCTTTGTGCTCCGCAAAACGCGTTCCAAGGCCGAATACGAGTCGTCGTAGCTTCGACAGGCGGCGTCGATGAGTGCGAAGCTCGGCGTTCTCTTTCTCTCATCAATGGAGTCGAAGGAATGGGTCCTGATCGAAGTCGGAACCGACACGACGGCCTTGTCAGCGGCGAAGTCCCTTCTTGAGTCCTAATTATCGTAATGATCCCTACCACCGGACGCTCGCCGATCCCTGAGAATAGTTAGCAGTGTAAAACAAAGCCGTTGCGTTACCAAGGCCACCCTAGACAAACGACCAGAAAGTCCATTTTGCCACTCACAATCCGATGACGTTCAGAACATCAGAAGAAGCGACTATACGCTGTTTTTACGAGGGAGCGGCTGCGGCGAATGTTGTGGTGGTTGACCCCTGAAAGTGCTCCGTTAGCGCACGATCCGTACCGAAGTCTTCAATGGGACTGATCTTCGAATGTATCTACCGATATCGTCTGTCTGATCGATGCTGAAGCCCATGCGAAATGGTCGGAGTACACGGCTCGGCAGTTCCGATTTTGCCGGGAAAACGCTGGAAATTTTGCGCCTGCTCGGAAGAAAACTGAAAATGGGAAGGAATGAGATTCTGATCCCAATATCACAGTACCAACGAATGAGCAGCAACACTGCAGAGGCAAGCGATGCCAAGCGAGCAGGTAGTAGTCGATCGATCTTCTTGCAGCGGACTTCGTGGGTGTCAGCTCCTCGGTTTGATTCTTTTATTAACGCTGATACGACGTCTCATTTTCGGGACGCCTCCCCCCTTTCGATCATGGAATTCATGTCGAATTTTCCTCGCATTCCTGAAACTGCACGAAGACGCGCAGCTTAATTCGGACGAATTTCGAAGAGCGAGAGGACAAAAAGTCAGAACTCGGGAAAAATCACTATTCGGATCTGTCGCGCGGGAGGAGGAGAAGTAACGTTGGCTGAATTGATTCTTTTTTTGGATCGATCCGACAATTGCTCCTGTCGTCGCGACTCTCATTTCCTCAGTCAAAGAGGACCGCGCGGCCGGAGCGCCGTCGCGCGGGAGCCGAGCTCGGCGGGGGAAGTGTCGCCTGATTGTTTTTCGTCTAGCTGAGGGATTCACTTATGCCAAGGGGATATTGAGGCGATAAATATTTGCGCGAGCGATGCGTTGAGTTGCACAGCGGCGAGGAGGGCCTCCAGGGAGTCGTGCCGAGGCATAAGTCTCGTGTTTCCATAAGGGATCATTGCCGCATCCTAGTCCGAATTCCTGAGCCCTGAAAGTATGTCAATGACAGAATGCGAATCCAACCTAGCTCTACTCTACGCCTGACAAGACACAAGGCTGTTGGGTACCCAATGAACGAAGCAATCGGCGACAATCTAACAGCTCCCCAACGTCGGAGCGATGAGCACCCTATCTGTCGACCTCAGGAACCATTGGCGTTGAGCGGCAGTGCCGTCGTCAACCCTTCATTGATGAGTCGGGATAAGGACCACCAACTGATGGGAAACGAATCCTCCCCTAATCGGAGCAGCTGAAGCAAACTACTCCGGTCCGGGTGGAAAATCTGGATGAGTAGGCATCTGATCACGCCTGGCCTAATTGATCCCGGTCGCAGCTGTTGCTCCGCGGTGGAAACGTTTCCGCGGTGTCATTCGAACGCGCCATTGTTTCGCTTGTTTGTTCATTTATGCTCGGGCATGCTGCCCATGATGGTCCGTCATCGATTTCAAAGTCGATTTCGGCCACTATTGAATCACCGACGGGGCAAGCTCTCACTGACGGTCCACCGCCGCCGCCGACGTCGCCGCCGCCGGCACTGAAGCTTCGCCTGAACATAGTCTAGCAACCTTGCGTCTGTGCACCTGTCTCTCTTCCCTGTCTATCGCCGCCAATGGAGCGGCTACTACTGTTGCCGCTGCCGCGGATGCGATTCTTAACGCGGTTCTTGATCATCAGTGATTCGCTCAGCTAGCCAGCGAACGAGCCTGCCTGCCTACCTACCGTAGTCGATGACTAACCATTGTAAAATGCCGTCGTCGACGGCAACCTGGGCGCTGCTGGCATCGCCCATCGACAGGAGGAGCGGCAGTGCCACCGAAATCCGCGGCGACAACGCCGATGAGGCTTCGAGCATGCGTTACTCTCCAAAGCGCCGTTTCTCCGCATCCGAAGCGCCGATTTGGTCAGCTGCTAGCACGGAGGAAATAATCCTCTCGAACTTTCGTGAAGTCGATATATGTACGTCGGTACAGCATAGATATGAAATGGCGGACGTAAGTGTGATTTGCACAGCCGAACGTGTTAGGCCGATTCACGAATTGGCAAGGTTGGTCAAGCGAGAAAGAGTAAGACAACAATACGCCTCGGCGAGCAGGTGCGATAGTGAAGAAGATTCATCGACCGAAGTTTTCTATTGACTTTTCTATCGGGTCAAAACGGAGCCGAAGGTTGACTCAGCGCATTTAGGACTCTCCGCGTGCGAAGGGTGATCGAACGAAGGAGCCCGGCAAGAAACTCCTATCGCCGACTGATAGGAGTTTCGAGTAACGCATCATCTCGACTCGTTTCGAGGAGAATCGGAAAATTCGGGGAAAAACGAAAATTAGTCCTGGCTTTCGAATGTCGAGTCCGGCCTTTCGGTCGGGAGGTCTCCATCACCGGGGAGAAGAGGTAGAGAAAAGAATAATGAAGAGGAATCGACCAAAACTTCCAACCCGAAATACGAACAAGCAAGTCACGAGCCGTTGGTCCATTGGTCGGAATGACCTTTTAGTTAACCCGTGACGTAACAAGTTTTTTAATTGAGATTTATTGTAATCAAATTCGTATGAACACACACACGCATACATGCGATTTCTAATCGTTGTGGTGACTATCATGATGGTGGTGTGCTTACGTTTGGCCCAGCCCGAAGCGATTAGCGGAAAAACCGGGGAGCGATGGAACAAACTAAAAGTGAACCGAGGGAAAAATTCACAGAATCTCGTCCACGGGACTGGGCGCGGAAGACCGAGCATGCGTTGACGCGATAACCTCCAAAAATGACTCCGAGTTCCTCTTCCACAGATTTCCGACATAACTTTCAACCAGAACAATGAGGTACTAACGAGCCGCGAGGCTCTCCTTCGATGGGCTCAACGGACGACCCAGGGATACCCAGGCGTCAAAGTTCGGGACTTCACGTCTTCCTGGAGAGACGGTCTCGCCTTCAACGCCATCATCCACAGAAATCGGTGAGTTGATTCCACTGCCTAGCAGAAGATTTCCGTGTGCTTCGTTCGCGGACAGGAAACGCGTCGGTAGTTCGACGTGCTTCGGCCGCAAACGACCTTGGTAAGGTCGGTCTAATTGAATCGTGCTCCAGAATCCGCCTTGCATTTTCCGTAACATCGTAGGCGTTCGGAGTCACGCGCATGCGACGCGAATATTCAGGAGCTCAGGCGTCGGCCGGTCGTAATGAAAAACGAATGGAGACATCTCTCTAATTAACACATTACGCGCATGTTTCTTCGATTCCCAAGGCGGGCGCATGAAGCCAATGAATTTCATTTTAATTCCCTCTCCTCAGTCCCGACCTCATCGATTGGCACTCCCTGTCCCGACACGAAGTACGTGAAAACCTGGAGAACGTATTCAACGTGTCCGAACGGGAGCTCGGTGTCACTCGTCTACTGGACCCCGAGGATGTCGATACGCCTCATCCCGACGAGAAATCTCTCATCACCTACCTGTCATCGCTGTACAACGTTTTCCCCGAGCCGGCTACGCGCAATCCTTTCGAAGACGAGAAGCAACGTGTCATCGACGAGTATCGTGATCTCTCGTCGTCGCTGCTATTGTGGCTGAAGCAGAACGTTCCCCGTCTCCAGAACCGAAGCTTCCCCGACCGGATCGAAGAGGTTAAGCAATTGTACCAAGACAATGCCACCTTCAGATCCATTGAGATCCCACCCCGTCTCAGCGAGAAACAACGCCTGCAGAGCCTTTGGAAAGATATGCAGAAGATGATGCGCGAGAATCGCGTACAGATGGATGACCAGCTCCGTTATGATTACCTGGACACCCAGTGGAAGAAAATGCTTCACGCCCACGAGGACCGTGATCGCGCACTACAGGATGAAATCACCAGGTGAGTGAGTCACACAAAAGCCGTTAGCGCACATGGCCGAGTCATTGAACCAACGGACGGACGGCGGGTCGGGGAAAAAACACAGCCCAGATCTTCTCGAACAGCGATGGCTGCGTCTCGTGGGTCCCATCTCTTTATTGGTCTTCGGAACAGATTTTCTCCCCTCCAGACTCGAGAAACTCGAACGGCTCGCCGAAAAGGTCCAGCGTGAAGTTCGAACCACTGATGGGAAATTGGACGATATCGAGGCCAGAATCAGGGAAGTCGAAAAAGATCTTCCTCGACTCCGGCCCGAAGAAGCGAAGAGAACGTGCGAGGTTTTCGAACGAGACCTCAGAAGGATCGAAGAAACCATTCGCATGCTCTTCAAAGACGTCCAGGTGCTCATGGACGGCAGATACTACCGTTCAAGAGAACTGCACAGGCTGTAAGTGACGCAAGTTTTCTCGCCCTTGGCGCCCACCATAAGCTCGAAATTTTAATCGAATGTCTTCGCTGAACAATTGTGACCGAGCCTCGGGTCGATGGAGTCAAACGATACGAGTCCCTATCTTTTTGTAAGTCTCGCTTAGCCGGTATGTGATTGATTTCGTTCCCAGGGTTCAAAACCTGCAACAGAAATGGGACAACGTACGAATCTCATACGAACGACGTCTCATCGATGCTCTCAACAATCGACAGTACAAGGTCGAAGAGAAGAAGGTCGTCAAGGAACGACAAGTGTTCTCCGAAGCTCGACTCTTGGAAACTAACGATGCTTTCAAGTTCCTACAACAATGCATCGAGTGGGTCAAGGAGAAATTGGTGAGTCTCGCACACGGTGTCAGGGAACTCAGTCATTCATTCATGAACACACACTGGCGACGGGTGGGAGGATTCTCGCGGGCTCGAGCTCCCCACGCGCCCGAACATCACAATGCGGGAGCGATTTCTGTGCGAATAACGTGCGTTCTATTTTTCTTGCGCAGAAATATCTCGAGGAGGCCGAATACGGAAACGACCTCCCCTCAATCCAATCGCTCGTCTCCGAGCACAGGACCGAACAGAAGCTCATCGACCAGTTCCAGAAGAACATCGATACGTGCGTCTCGCGCAAGAAGCACTTCCAGGGCCAAGAGCTCGATTTCTATTCGAGATTGCTGGCTCAGCTCGAGCGAGGCTACTCCGACGTCGTCGTGCAATCGAACAAACGCATGTCCGATCTCGACACGTTGCTCGAGTTCGTGAAACGAGTTCACGAGGAGATGATGTGGCTCAACGAACGCGAAGATATCGAAATCAGTCGGGATTGGGCCGCGGCCAACATCAATCTCGTTGAGGTCGAAGCTCACCAGACATCGCTCTGCCACCAGATGGAAGGCCGCGAGTCGCAGTTCAACTCGGTCCTCGACCAGGGTAACAGTCTGATCCGTCAACGCCATCCGGCTCATAAGACCATCGATCATTTCCTTTCGGCGATGCACTCGAGCTGGAGCTGGATGGTTGAGCTGATCCACGCGCTCCAAATCCATTTGCGTCACACCCAGGACCACCAGCGCTTCTTCCGCGAGGCCAAGGAGTGCGAGCAGTGGATGCAGACGATCGAGGAGCGTCTGAACTCGACGTTCTCGCGAACGGTGTTCTCAATCGACGAGGGCGAGCGTCTTCTGAAGCAAATGAACGACATGCGAGAGGACGTTTCGCGTTATTCGTCGATTGTCAACTCTCTGATCGATCGCTCGAAGGACATTTATCCTCTCAAGCAACGACGCCAGCCCCTTCCGAGACCTCTGCGCGTCAACGCCGTCTGCAACTACAACCAAGGCAACATGCAGATCTACAAGAACGAGCAGTGCTGGCTGCACGACAACAGTCAGAGACAGAGGTGGAAGATCATCAACCAGAAAGGCGCCGAAGGTCTCGTGCCCGGCGTCGTTTTCGCCATTCCGCCGCCGAACCCCGAGGCGATCGACCTCGCAGAGAGTCTCAAGCGCAAGTACGAGGCGCTCATCAAACTCTGGACGAAGAAGCAACACAAACTCCGTCTGAACATGATCTTCGCCACAATCAACATCGTCAAGGGCTGGGACCTGAAGACGTTCAAGGCGATGGAACCCTCGCAGAGGGAAAGCATCATTAGGGCGCTCAACGACGATGCCGATAAACTCCTCGCCGAGGGAGACAAGAACGATCCTGACATGAAACGTCTGCGAGATGAAATCAAGTACATCAACAAACTCTATCAGGATCTTCTGCGTCAGCTCAAAGAAGAAGAGGCCGAGAACTCGCCGAACTCACCGGCGAGGCGCTTCCAGGAGACGTCGAACAACCTCGACCAGGTTCTCCGGGAAAAGGAGCGAATCCTCACCCAGCGACTCAATGATCCGATCCCGCGCGACCTCGACGCCCTGGACGAGCTTCACTCCCAGCACAAGGACTTCGAACGCGACCTCGGCAGCTACGAGGGAATGATCGCCGAAATGAAGGTCGCCTTCAAGCAGATGACCAAGAAAACTCCCACTCACCAGGACAAACACGACCGTATCGTCGCGCTCTGGGACAAACTCTGGACTCTCTGCAGGGCCTACGCCGAAAGGTGAGCATTCAATGATAAATCTTCGTCTCTCCCCCTCCCCTCTCCAGCCCCTCCCGGGGGGCGCTGGGAATGAGCGTTTCCGAACCGGGCGAAAACGGATTTCCAGAGATTCTCTTCTCACCCCACAGGTTCAAGGCCGTAGAGCTCGCCATTACCTCTCTGAAGGAAGCGACTCAAGCCGTGTCCAACGTTGAGATCTCTCTGGCTTCTTACGAAAACCTGCCTCAGGATGAAGAAGCTCTCAGAAAGATTCACGAGGATTTGCTCGCCATCCAACTTGAAATGCAACAACAGCAGCCCCTCTTCGACCAATTGGTCACCAACGTGACCCTCGCGAAGAAAGTCACCGAAAAATCTCGGCAGAACGTCTACACGCACCCCGATCTGCGGAAACTCGACGACGATACCAAGAGGGTGTTGAAACGCTGGAGCGACGCGTTGAATCAGATCGCTGAGAGGTGAGCTTCCCCCCTCTACCCTTCATTTCCAAAAGCGAACGCTGGGAGGTCCTGTCCTCAATTTCTGCGGCCCGTCCTGCAGAATACGGCCGTTCCGCACAGCGGAAGCTAGGGTCGACGGAGAACGCAGGAATGCACAATTTAGATCTCCTTTGGTCGTATTCTCTGGAACTCGCAGCAGGCCAAGAGCCCATACCGCACCGTCGTTCCAACTCCCCCTTCTGTCTCACGTCGGAGGAGGACGGGGGGGGTCCAAAATCGTTGGCCCCAGATCTGCATGGTCGGGTGCCTTAGAGATCCGGCGCTTGCACAGGTCCATCACATGTCAGTCTCTCTTTGTATACGTGTTCCGGACGTATATCTTCCATTCCGTCCATGAATCGCGAGACCGCAATATGCTGCTGCCGAATCGAAATGAACGACGCGGGTCGTGACGAATATTTTGCTGAGTCTCTTAGGGCGGATCCACGAGTGAACACTGGCTAGACCACTGGCGAGTGTTTTTGAAATATTCTGTCCGTAGGTTCTAATTTCCTTGCTTCAATTTACAGGCTTCGTAGCTGCGAAGCTGCCTCAGAGATGCTGAGGGCCTACAGGAATAAGATGGATGACGAGAAGCAATGGGCAAACCAAATGACAATTAAGGTGAACACCATCAAAGAAGTGAAAAGCTCTCGCGACGCGGAGCGCGAGTATCAGCTAGCCTTGGTGAGCTCGCTCTGTCTTTCTGTTCTAAGATGATACGTCAATTTCAAATTTCTGACCCGTTCGAAATTTGAGGTTTAACAAGCAAGGAAGAGGGTGTAGGCATATTCCTATCTTAGAACATTTCGTCGAAGAATATTCAGCGAAAACACACAATCGGAAGATGGAGTCGCAGCTCAGAATTATCGAGCTATTTTTTTCCACCCCTAATGATTCAATTTACCATCCGATTTTTTTTCATCGCGTATTCATACAGCCTACGATCGATTAACCCGTGTACTACCTGAGGAAAAATCGTGGCAGAAGCTGCGATCCTACGGAGTGCCGAAAAAACCAAACCAACTGCTTTCCTTTCTAGTCGCTATTTACAACCCTCACGGAAAGGAAGCCTATCCTTGAGGATCTTAACCTCGTGGGCGGCCGCTACATTCGTGAGGCGAAGGTGTGTCATTCTTTTTCCGACGATCCTCTCTACTCGCGTTCTTCAGGACGACTCCTCGAGGACTCTTGGTATATCTCCTCCACCCGCACCGTTCCCACCCCTTTCGTTGTACCACCATCCCTACTGTCCCCACTCCCACCAATCCCTCGACCCTGCACGAATCATTAGAAAAAAATCGATGATCCCCATAGCCTAAACGTACCCTACTCTCTCCAAATTTCTCCGTCATACCCCGATTCCCTTTCTCACCTGAAATCTTCGAGATCTAAAGTCCAATTCCCCTGATGTAGCCTAAACCTCACGAATTCTGCATGCGTATCCTAACCTGTATCACTGCTTCATAGTAACTCAAGCGCGGCAGTTTCTTCTCGGAGCCGGTAAATTCGTCCCAAGACAGAGGAGTCGTTGGCCGAAAAACGGCGCCCACTCAGAAGTCTGACAAAGTCGTTGTAGACTTCATGTAGTAGTTGTTGTTGTTGTTGGTGTCGTTATCGTCGACGTCGTTGTTGTGGTGTTCATTCTGTATGTGGACGTAGTTCGGCGAATATGTTAATTTGAGCTCCTTTTTGGGTAGCATAGTTTAGCCATCATCGACTCAAACGGCATGATCACTGCATGTTTCTGCACCGAAACACCGATTGCACCGGTCGACCAGAACTGTCGACCCCTAGTTTCCGTCGTTCCTTCATTCCCCACCCCATAAACCCACGCACGAATCCTGCACGCTGCAAGCCACAGGAGACCGAGAGAGTCGTCGAGGAGCCCCGGGAGCGTTCCCTTCAACATCTGTGTCCATGATGGTGATGATGAGATCACTTCGATTCGTACTGACGTGTTCCCCGTTCCATGAATTGCTGCGCACAGATCTACGATCTCAGAAACAAAAACTACCGGGAAAGTCTTGAGGACGCCCATCCTAGTCTAGATGCTAGTCTCAAACAAAGAAGAGGATTGCCAGGAGCGAACGGAGCCGACGTGGTCGAGACAGAGCTCGACCAAGCCAACGCTGAGTACCGACAAACCGGAGAAAAATTGAGTTCGCTTCTGCATAGCATGCAGAAGTACTTCACCAGTGAGGAAAGGCACAAGGTGTGTGGGTTAAGATCGCGTAACGTTCAGGTTCATGTAGCTCAGATGTTTCCGATATTTCACGTGGGTCACGTACCTCTCAACATAGGATCGACGTAGGCTCCTATCAATTGTGCAATATGATTCGATTATGATTAGTATCGGTTAGATCGAGGTCGGGTCGAACCGACGTCCTGCCTCAGGGGACTCATTGCTCGTAGATAGCGTCGATCCTCCAGCCCGTATCACTGACCGACAAGCAGAAGAAAACGAACAGACAAAGGTTAGGGAGTGTCCGTACCGCTCGGCACAAGGCGGCCTGACCTATTGTCCGCAAAAGGATAGACGTCTGACGGAACGGCGGAATGAGTAAGCCAGCAATCCTTCATGAGGGCCGCCAACGCGGGCAAATATTCGCTTGTATATTCTCCTCGGTCTGTCTGTTATTCGTTCGCTCGCTCGTTCCTTCGTCGGAACGCTCGGCCTGCCGACTGTTCCGTATAAGGAGCCGGATTTCATTTTTTTCGACTCCCAGCGACTTTCCTCCGCGGAGCCTTCAGGAGGTGACGTACACGCGATCAGCGGTGGATGGACGGCGGAGACGTTTTCGCGTATGCTTGACGTTCGCTGTGACTTGCTCGGCCGTAAAGCATTGCTGTCGCACTTGATCGGAGTAGGCGTTGCAACAGAAGATTTCGTCTGGGCTGTCGTTCGACTCCCTGAGCTCCTTTTACGGAACTCTATTCGGAGAATCGAAAACAAACAACCAGAACCAACACGGGAGGTTTTTTCTTGCGACCAACAGTTCAAATTAGGAATTTCGTTTCCTCGATTTCCTCCCGGATCACGCTCCTCTTTTGCGTCCGCCAACCTCCTCGCTGTGTTTTTTCCCTTGGAAAGCGCATTAGAGATTAGGCCGGTTCGGCGCGGCCGGTAAGAAAAAATGAAAAACGACCGATAAGCCATATGATGAATTTTAACAGTGGGCGCCCAGGCTCCAATGATTTGAAAAGAGGCCCTTTTGGGGAGAAACTGTACACTTGGACACGGCACGTACCGTACGGCGTTTTGGCAGATGGATTTCGATACGGTCATGGCATCAGTGTCGGCAGCGACGGCGGCAAACTCCACCGGATGAGCGACGGACGAAAAGAAGTCGCCCCGGTGGACGGTCGACGATGTGAAATTAGTTTCTCCAGCGCGCGAACTCCTCCCACGCCTGAGATGTCTCTTGTTTTCTTTTCACTCGGGGTGGATTTTCACTGGACTTCTTTACTTTTGCCGTTTCGAGCACCCGTACCATGAAACGTCACGAAACCCTTTCCGGGACTCCAGCAATATGTTTCATCTTCAACCACCATCATCTTGATGGCAGACGAATTTAAATTCTCCGTCATCACAGGCCGGCCGGCCGTCGCCTCGCGTCGTAGTCGCTCTTGTTCTCGCCGTGGTAGTCGGCGCCGCATCGCTGTGGTCGGCGATCGTGAACGCCATGCAAGGCACGTAGTCGCCGCCAATAGGGCATCATCAGCGGGAGTGGCAGCAGTAGTGGTCAATGAAATCGCGAGCACACTTCAGACATCGCATTCTGTGTATTCTACATGTTCTCGTTCTCTGTGAACTTTGGTTTTTCTCCCCGGCTTGACATCAGAGGGCGCCGCAATCGGGTAGGCCCACGCAATTTAAGTCCGTCTGTGCGGCCACGGAGCGATATAGCCTACCAGAGATGGAGTTAGTTCCCTTACCACTCACAACAGACAGTGCTGCTGCTGCTTCCCATGATGCTTGTGGCTGGTTGTTCCTCGTCGCGTTGCAGTGGACGATAGAGGCGACTTCCACAAAACGAGCAAGTCCGCCGCGTTATTAACCGCGCGGCCCTGCCTACGTCGTGACTACCGCCGTAGAGTAGTCTCGCTGTTGTTACATTGACTCAACGAAAGGATCAGTCAGATACCCACGGAACGATCCGAGGGACGCACGGGCGGACGAACGAGCAAGCGAGCGATCAGAAAAAAAAATAAACAAACCAATGAGCGGACGAGTTTTCATAAAGTGTCAGTGTGTTTGCGGTCTCTCATGATGAGTGTGCTGTGTCGTCATCAGTGATACCATCATCGACGTCGTCGGATGATCGGGAGGAGCAGCGGGATCATCTGCTGGATATACCCAAGTGCCAAACGGAAGATTATCGTCGTCGAAGAAGTGATCTTCTTCTGAAGTGTCGTGTTGTGAACCTAGTAGAAACTGTGATCCCTATGTAGAGAGATTCTAATCTTTTGTTCAATCGCGATGTACAGCAGAAATCCGAGAGAGACTCCGAACAACTACTGAGAGGTACCCCCGACGTACCACCGGTTCCTAGCATTGTGACCTATCAGCAGCTCCAACAACAAAAGTGGCAATCGCCCCAGGAGCCCACGGCTCCGGTTCCGTCGTCGTCCTCAGCGACGACGACGACGACAACCTCTGCCTCTGAAAAGTCGACGTCGCCTTCCGAAATGGAATTGGGAGACTCGACCCTAAGAGGGTCGTCACTGACGATTACCGAAGTCAAGTCGACGAAGCTCATTAAAACTCACGAAGACAATCCCAACGCGGACTTCCTCGCTAGGACCGCCCTCAAGGACACTCGCAGTGACCAGAGGGTTCCTCTTTGCGTGGCGTTGCGTTGCGGGATCATCGATGCCAAATCAGGTAAATTCGTTGACACCAAAACCGGCAAACTGCTGAGCGCAGAAGACGCTCTCGCAAGCGGTCTGGTGAATCAGCAGTACCTGGACGTGTTGCAAGCGCCTTGCGGTCTCGTCGATACGAAGACGCGGCAGGAGCTCACGTTGTTCGATGCGATTCGTTTCAATTTCTACGATCCGCATAAACAGACTCTACTCGACTCGAAGGGCAATCCGATCTCGGTTCAGAAAGCCGTCCAGAGCGGCCTTCTCCGCGATCCAGAATTGATGGTTAAGAAATTGAAGCTCATCCGGGTGACACGACTCAGCATCACGGAAGCGTTCGACGCCGGTCTATTAAACCCCAAGGACAGTCGGGTAACAGACCCGATGACTGGCGAAAGCTACAGCATCGATGAGGCGTTCGATAGGAAACTGATCGAGCCGAAACGAGAGAACGACGAAGGCTTGACGCTAACGTACGCCCTCGATCGAGGCATGGTCGACGACAAGGGACGTCTCACGGACAACTGTTCCGGCGGTGTGTACGACCTCAACGAGGCGTTGACCCGCGGCGTTCTGTGCTCGGAGACGCGCGAGGTCGTCAACAAAAAGTCCGGGAAAGTTGTCAGTGTACCAACCGCTATTCGGGAAGGCGTCATCAACGTCCGTAATGGCCAGTACGTCGACGAGCAGACCCGAGAACGGCTCTCGCTCGGCGGAGCGCGGAAACGCGGTCTCATTTCGCCGTCACTGACGTTGAAGGACGCCGAGTCCCAGGACCTCCTGGACGAGTCCGGGACCATTCTGAACCCCTATTCGAACAAGAGGATCAGTCTGCTCGAAGCGGTCTCCCTCGGTTTGTTGGACGCTAACATCAAATGCATTCTCCATCCGATCAGTCAGGAAGCGATGTCGTTGAGCGAAGCCATGCACCAGGGCATCATAACCCCCGACGGGAAATTTGTAAACCCGCGAACTCACGAAACCATGAGCATTGTCGAAGCCGTTCACCGAGGCCTGATCTCGTCGGTGAGCCAGAAGATGATCTTCGAGGTCGAGGGTTTCCAGGACACCAAGACCGGGGACAACATCAGTTTCAATCAGGCTGTTCACCAGGGTATCATCAACTTGAAGAACAGGACCTTCAAGGACACCAAAACCAATCGGACGATGCCGCTCCGAGAAGCTCTGAATAAAAAGCTCATCCTCGATCAAGTTTACGAAATGCTCACGAAACCGATCGGTCTCAAGGACGACAACGGACAGGAAATCACCCTGCTCGAAGCCGTTTTCACCCGTCGCGTAGACCACAAAACCGGTCAGCTGCGTCATCCCAAGACCTTGATGCCGATCTCGTTGCGGGACGGTGTCAAGGAGGGCATCATAAGCCCTGAGGGCGCCGCTCTCCTCCGAGGTCTGCTCCGGATAACGGTCAGCACGGCGACCGTGACGAAAACGATCACGCGTTACGTCACCGTTCAGTCGAAGGCCGGATCCGCCGAAGTCGGAATCTCGTTCCAGGAAGCCGTTCGGAAGGGACTGATCAACGAAAACAACGCGACGTTCAAGCACCCGAAGAGCGGCAAAGTCGTCAGTCTCGAAGAGGCCATCAACGACGGACTTCTGGTTCTCTCCGCCGAAGGCACTCGCGACCTCAAGGCTGTCCAGGCCATTCTCAACACCAAGACCAAAACGCGGGTGGTGACGACGGAACGCGAGATGAGAGAAGTGATTGAGAAATCGAGGTCGAGGAGTAGCTCACCGACAAAGCCTCAGCACCAGCTGAAGGCGGAGTCCAAAATCGAAGTCAGCCCTTCGGGGAGCTCAGTCAGAACTAGTCTTGGCGGGACCGGTACGTCCAAAGAGATGTCGTACGAGTGTTTCTATGAGGAAAGTCGGGTTGGGACCACCGACAGCCAGAGCAAGCAAGCGAGGGACGATGAAGCCGTTTCGAGGAAGATTTCCGTCAAGGTCGACACCAAGGATTCGAAGACCGACGGGAAGTCATCTCCGGAGAAGAGGTCCCCCAGCCCTTCGAAGCCGGGCAGTCCCGAGCACAAGAAGAGCAAGCGAACCGAGAGCGAAACCTCAAAGAAGGTCGAGACAGTCAAGTCGGAGTTCCGGTCGAGTCACACCCGGGAGAGTTCTTCATCGACGTCATCGGTGAAGTCGTCTCCGACATCGAGATCGGGAAGTCCTCTGAAAACGACCGAAACTCAAAAAACTGTGATTACGTCCTCGAGCGTTTCTTCGCCCACCCCTGCCAAACCGAAAACGAAAGAAACGCCCTCCTCCGTCCAGGGATCCCGTGAATCGAGCCCCTCCAAGTCGGGCACCAGCATCTCCACGCGCGCGGAGTCCAATCGAGAGCGGGAGTCCAAGACGCGGAGCACCAGTCCCTCGAAGAAGGCCGCGAGCTCGGCGAGCTCTCGACCGACGAGTCTTCCGGACACGACGTCGACCATCGTCTGCGACATTCCATCGAAGGGTTGGAATTTGAAGGAAGTTCTCCATCGAGACATGCTCGACGCTGGCAGCGGTCTTCTGACCCTGCCCGGCACGGACCGGATGGTCACCCTCGAGGAAACCGTCAAGCTCCAGCTCATCAATCCCGATTCGGCTCAGGTGACCGACACCCGCACCGGGAAGACCTACAACCTGCTCGAGGCTTTCCAGAGAGGTCTTCTGGACTCCACGGGCTCCACGAAGACGATGGTGAATAACGTCTCGTTAAAGGAAGCCTTGGATTCGGAAATCATCAGACTGCTCGAGCCGGCCGTGCCCGAAAGCGAACCCAGAAAACAACTTCATATCGCCCGACCTGTTCACGAGGAGCTGGGCAGAGCTTTGGAGACGCTGAAACCATTCACGACACCCACGCCTCTCACTATCGTGAGGCATCCCGAAACCGGCCTGGACATCGATCTGGGAACAGCTGTCGAAGCGGGCGTCGTATCGACGAGCGACGTTGTGATCAGTGATCTTCGCTCGGGCCAGAGCTTCACTCTTGAACAAGCCGCTAAACAAGGGATCGTCGACGAAGATAGTCTCGTGTTCACCGATCAGCAGACTCAGAAGAAAATGGGTCTGTCCGACGCTATCAAGCTCGGGCTTATCGCGGTTTCGGCTCCCGCGGCTCTGGGTGTCGAAGCGATTAAGGACATCTCCCAGTTGAAAAAAGCACGCGATGAGAGATTACAACAGACCGTCACTTGCACCGAGCCGGTGCGCGCCACCACCGAAACAACGAAAATCGTTCGGAAGGCCGAGCTCGTCATCCGGGACGCGCAGTCCGGACGAGAGATCCCGGTGGACGAAGCCCTGCAGATGGGCATCATCGATTCGGGACTCGCGAAGGAGCTGCGGGACTCGGCCAAAACCACCGAGCACACGGTCCACACCACGACCACCGTCCTGGTGACGGACCCGAAAACCGGACAGGCCATGACGCTCGCAGACGCGCTCGAGAAAGGCGTTCTCACCAAAGACGCCGTCGAGAAACTCCAACGGGGTAACGTCTCCGGGGTTCTGACCTCAGTCCAGACAGCGTTCGTGGGTGAGGACAAGGGCGCGACGGTTTCGTATCAGGAGTTCATGACGCGACCGATGTCGGAATTGACGAAAACCGCCGGCGAAACAAAACTCACCATCAAGCCGTCCGAGGCTCTGTCGAAGTCCATCACGCGCACCGAGGAGTCGATAACGATCGGTCGACCACCCGTTCTCCTGCAGCGAATTCGACGGATTCTCTATCCGGCCAACGTGGCGTTCCAACGCGGCTACATCGATGCGGCCACGAGGGACGTGCTCGAGGAGGTCGTTCAGAAGAAAGATCAACTCGGACCGATGAGCCTATCAGAAGCTATTCGCAAAGGACTCGTCCAGGACTCCGAGATCACGGATCCTCTGAGCGGTCAGAAGTTCCGGCTGTCAGAGTGTACGGAGAAGAAAATCGTCGACGACCGCTCCGGTCTGCTGGCGATTCCCGTGGGAAGACCGCTGGCGCTGGGAGAAGCCCTTCAACAGGGGGTTATCGACACGAACAAAGACGAGATAGTCCACCCCGAAACTGGAGCCAACCTTAGTCTTCAGGAGGGAATACTCTGTGATATAGTCGACTATAACTCAGCTGTGTTGCATCCGGATGACTCGAGCAAACAGCTGTCGATCGACGAGGCCATCTCTCAAGGCGTTCTTGACAAGGTCACCGGTGAGTTTTCCGGCGCGGGAGGTAACCTACCACTCCACAAGGGTGCCGAGAAGTTCGTTCCGACCATACTGAGCGAGAAGACCACGCCGAGCACCGCGAAGAAAATGCCGAAGTTGGCGTTGACGTTCCCGGTGGCGCTGGAGCGCGGTCTGATCGATACTCGGAAAAAGGAATTCACGCATCCGGCCACCGGCTCGAAGATGTCGGTCAAGGAAGCCATTAGGAAAGGTCTCCTGCTCGATCAACAGATCGCTGTAGCTGAAGATAGCTTCGATGTCGTGCAGGCGCTCGACAGCCAACTCATCGACTCGACGATGCTGAGCGTGAAACATCCGAAAACCGGCTCGACGACCCCGGTGCGAGACGCGATGGAGTCGGGCTCGTTGCAGCTGAAGCCCGTGCCCGCGAAACCGCTCATGGAATCCTCAAGCAAGGTGACGTCATCGAAAATCACGGCTAAGGTGACGACGATCAAGAAAACACTTTCCATCTCGCCCGGTTACGAAATGGCGTCGAAAGATAGCGTGCGCGAACGAGCTACCGGTAGAGTCCACCCACTCGATGAGGCCATCGCGCTCGGATTCGTCAAGGTGGAGGCGGAAAGTAAGGACACCAAGCAGACCCTCTCCGATGCGGTAGCGTGCGGCGCCGTGGATTTGGAGAAGGGTGTGTTCACTGACCAACTGACCGGACAGTCCATGCCACTGCGCGAAGCCCTGGCCAAAGAAGTGCTCGTTCTGGATCGACAGCCGAAAGGCAGCACGAAATACGGTCTCCCGGATCTTTTCGAGTACTACGATCAGGAGTCGAAACAATTCCAACTGCCCAACGAACCCCGCCCGCTTAGTCTCGAAGAAGTCACCCGACGAGGCCTTCTGGACGCAACCGCCGTCGTGTACCTGCCGGAGAGCGGGTCGAAGGTCTCCGTCGGAGAGTTCGTCGAGGACCCTGAAAACTTCAAGCTGCTGGAAAAAGGAAAACTGAACGTTGCCGGACGGACAATCGACGTGCAACAGGCGCTCAAGAAGGGTCTCCTGGCCACGGTTGCGGCACCCGCGGTGGCCGCGTACGAGATCGCTCGAAGCACTTCGTCGGCCATCCGAAAAGGAATACCAACAGAACGGAGCCCATCGCCAACTAAGGCATCCACCCACATGTCGAAGCGGGAAGAATCATCGGCTTCGAGCAAGAGTGTCATTTCCAGCAAGTCATCCCGTTCCGCGAGCCCAGAAAAACGAGCGCTCTCCGCGCATGAAGTGACCGAAGTGACAACCGTCGTGAAGAGCGGTTCTCCGAAACACCAGATAATCGAAGTCACCCGAACCGTGGGTCCAACGAGTCGCGTACCGCCCAAGGAGGGACAGGGTTCTCCAGTATCGAGGGCAACCGTTTCGACAACGGTCACGAGCCCCAAGAGAGCGGCGAAGTCGACGGTTCACGAAGTTTCCGAGGAGGAGGTGACCTTCCGGAAAGATCCGACGCCTCCAGCGGAAATGACGAAAACCCCGCGGACTCCGAGTCCTCCGAAGTCAACGAGGGAAAGGGTCGCTACGGTTCCCGCGCAGGAACGCTCTCCGAGTCCGAAGAAAACAGGTGATGTGAAGGTTACATCCTCAACGACTTCTTCCTCGTCCTCATCTGAAGTTCAGAAATCTTCGGCTTCGACAGCGGTAGAAAGCGGCAGTGTCATGCGCTCAAGATCATCGTCACCGGTGAAGAAAGAGTTCAGCTCAAGGACGGTGGAGATCTCCCACGAATCGTATAGCTCAGTTTTGCCATCGAAATCTGAAACTTCCAAGAAATCCTCATCGTCTTCGGTGAGCAGCTCATCGCGTAGCGAACAGAAATCCACGAGCAGATCGAGCTCGCCGAAGAAGTCCTTTGCCGAAGTGCGCGAACAGAAGTCGGAAGTGGTCGGTGAGACTTCGGTGAAATCATCTGAGGAGGTTCAGAGCAGCTCATCTTATTCGGAGGTCAGCTCCTCGCGGAGCCGGTCGTCTTCGCCTTCGAAACGAGTCACTTACGAGGAGCACGTCACAGAAATCGAAACGACGATTCCTTCCGTGCCCAAGACCTCTTCGGAGTCCAAGACCCAACGAAAATCTAGTTCTTCGTCTTCGGTTTCGCCTCTGAGGAAGCAATCTTCGGAGAGGAAGAGCGAGGCCACGTCCGATGTGTCGAGTCGATCGTCTTCGAGAGTGGTCAGCGAGGAACGCTTTTCAGAAGTCGTTTCCCAACGCTCGACTTCGCCATCGAAACGAGCGCCGGAGCAGAAGCCCTCACCTACGAGGCAGGTCGAGCTTGAAGAACGCACGGAAACGAAGACGAGATCCCCCTCCCCCACCAAGAGGGTTGTCAAGTCGCAAGTCTCCGAAACGAGAACTTCAGAGATCACTGGATCGCGCTCGCCGCCGGAAGAGCAGGCAACAGAAATACGTTCGAAAGAAACCTTCTCGGCCACGAGCAGTCGATCGGCTTCGCCTCTGAAGCGAACGGCGGAAGAGAAAGTTGAGACGGTCACGTCGAAGACGTCCCCTTCTAGGAAATCGGTCGATCGCGAGAGCGTTTTCGAGAGGCTCAGCAAGAGCTCTGAGAAACAAGCCCCCGCCACCAAGAAGCTCCACTCGCCGGAGAGCGAGCGAATCGAGGAACGGAAGACGGAAACGATCGAGAGACTCAGCAGCCCATCGAGGTCTTCGGCCGCCGCCAGAGTCGTCGAAAGCTCAAAGTCCTCGTTCTCGGAGTCCAAGACGTCTTCCAGCCGGTCCGAGTCGCCTTCAAAGCGAGTCGTCGAGGAGAAATCGTTCGAGTCGGTTCTTGAAACGAAACAACGTTCTCCGTCGCCTTCGAAACGGTCCACTGAGCGATCTTCGTCCTACGCGAGGAGTTCCGCTCAGGAGACGTCGAGCTCGACTTACGTATCAGAAGTGCGTCAATCGTCATCATCGAGCTCCAAAACCAGCAGCCGGTCGGTTTCGCCGTCGAAAGCAATCAGCGAGATAACGAGCAGCACGGTCGAGACTTCGTCGAGAACTTCGTCTCCTTCGAGGACGAAGGTGAAGGTCAAGGAGAGCTCTCGGCAAAGTTCGCCTCTGAGGCAGGTGGCGCTTGCCAGCGCGAGTGAACTCGACAGTCCCGAATGGCAGAATGTCAGGGAATCCTCGAGCTTTACCGACACCGAAGTCGTTGTCAAGCAGATGTTCACCGAATACGAAAAACATTTCGAAGGAGAAATGGTCGTCGGTTCGAAAACGAGCGTTGATAAGATCATCGCCAGCGATGTGCTGGCCGCCAAGCACTTCATGGTGCACATCCCCTCGACGGGCGTCACGATGAAACTGGAGGACGCTCTAATGCTCAACAAGGTCTCAAGCAAGAGCAAAATTCTGGTACGCTCTCTCAACGAACTGGTGCTCATCGAAGAGGACGAGGAGTCCGCGGACAACGCGTACCGGTCCGCCCTGATGGAGCAGGAAAGTCGGCTGGAGTCCTCTTCGAAACTCAAACGCGAATTCTACGATTCCCATAAGCATATTTTCGTGAAAGCAGGCGGCAGCCAGCAGATTAATTTCGAACAGTTCGTCGAAACGTCCAATCTCAACAACATCCGCGTGAAAGACATGAAGTCGAACGAGTTTGTGAGTCTTCGCGAGGCTTTCGACAGAGGTATAATCGATCGAGCTACCGGTGAGTTTTTCGATCACTCATCCGGAGCGTCGATGTCGTTTTTCGATGCGGCAGATCTGTCGTTCGTCACATGGTCCACCGCTAGCAGCGAACAGCGTTCGAGTACGCAGGGGGTAACCTCGGAATTCCAGTCTCTCTCAGAAGCCATCCGAGGGTTGTCGTTTGACCAGGAAAAGGTAAACAGCTGGGCGAGCGAACCAGACGAATGGTGTGCAGCTTGGAATGTAGTAACACCAAACACAACCTACCTAAAGCTACGGCGCCTTCCGTCTCGATCAGCTGCCAGCTGGAGCAGCTGCACCTAAAGCGAATAGTTGAAACACTGAATCGAGCGAGCAAGCGAAAATGCAACCCATCATGCAAAAGCAGCCATTCAGTGTGCAATCTGAGAAAAGCTAGAGAAGCTAGAGATGTCACCATCCATGTCATGGCAGTCGTTGTAATTGTTGGTAATGTTCTAGTTGTCAATGTCGTTTCTAGACCACGAAGTAGTCAATGTTTAGTTGTGAGCACCGCCAGGCACCACTGTGAGACAATTTCCCGGAAGAGGATTCCGAGCCTCGCCACTTGAGCTTCGAGCCTGAAACATAACTCTCGCTTCTGCTTGTACATATTTTTTGAACGCTCATCTTTTTTCGATTGTCTAGAGCCGCTGCCGCAATAGCATCATCTCTTGCAGGCGTAGATTCTCTCTAACGTAGGTGCAGAAATGCTGCGAATTCTCAACCGCTGTACCACCTGAATTTTTTGAGTCGTGCGTTGCACGATCAGCCCCGACGCGAACCAATGAAAAATCAGGGTTAGGAAGCTCGAGGCTCAGGAGCACTCAAAAATCTTCAGATTCCTATCGACTTTGACAGTTCTCTCAGACGGGGCGAAATCATGAAATGCGATTCAGACCAGAGAACCTGGGACGTGGACTTCGATGTTTTACTCCAGCAATCAGAAGATCACCGATCTTCGTCATTGTCATCCCGTTTCCTTTAACGAATCACGTCGATTTGTGAGTCATTTACCTTGCAAGACGAAAGAACGGGAGCCAGAAAGCAGACTTCTCGCTCGTCGCGTTCGCAAACATGGAAGTTCCACCGTGGGACGCGTTGCGGCCATTACTCATGCCGTCATTCTGTACAGTCCGCGAGTCCCATTCTGCTTTTGGGATTTCGTCCGCTTTGTTTTCGCCTCGATGGATTCGCTTCGGAATCATTTCTGTGGTTTTCTTCGCCTCTCTCCCTTCCCTGGTCGAGTCGTTTGTCAATTTTTGCCAATCGTATTGGTTCGGGTCGGGGTTTGGAATCCGTTGCTTGCTTGAGGTGAAATCGCCTTGAGAAGAAACAACTAATCTTTCGTCGAAGGAGTCGAACGACCTCGTCTCGGTCACCTAACCAGAGACCTTGTAGAATTAGTTTCACTCACAATTAGCTGCTACGAGACAAATACCGACCAGTATCGGTAACTACCCTAAAACCAAACGTATGAATACGATCCACAGAGATCAGAAAACTCCTCAACTCCGTTCAAAAACGAGAGAGCATAAAGTTCACTTTAAATTTTATCTATTGATCTAAAGTTGACTAATGAGTTCTTGAATCCCGCTACGAGAGTGAGTCTGCAGTTCCATTAACAAGTTTCGTTCGAAGAAAATTTTCTATCGAGAACATCGCACGACAAACAAACGAACTCACATCGAGAATGCGAATCGAACTCTTTGCCCTTCCGAGTCTAAAGTGAACTGCGATGCGAAAGTTTCTCCCGATAGGTCGCGACCATCTCTCGACAAAGAGTAGTTGTGACCTCAAACCGTCCGTGGGAATGCTGTGTGGGAATGCTAAAGGTCCCAATCGATATGCGATCAATCCGCTAACTTCACTCTCGACTGTGTTTAGGCTGCCATGCAAGAGAGGTACCGTGTCGCAGACGAGTCACTCACCAACCTCGCTTCGTGGCTTAGCGAAGTTGAGACCAGAATCGCGAGCCTCGGAGCGCTCCACGAAGAGGTCAACCGACTCTCGCACCAACAGGCAGTAGCCAAGGTGAGTCAAGTCGAGGACTTCCGGGACCGAGTAAATCAGAACTCAGCATTACCAGTCTGGGTTTCCCGGGACCCGGAATCCCGAACTCGTATCTGGATTTTTCGTTTTGTGTTCTCTTGTACCGACTCTTTCGTTTTCTTGAACTCCTGATCTAACCGAGTCGGGTTTCTCTGGAATTCAGACTGTCAAGGAAGAGCTCGAAATCAATCGCAAGGTCGTCAACCAGACCTTGGATCAGGTCCGTCAGATTTCGAAGGAGGGCTCCGACATGCTGTCTAGCTCGGAGATTTCCAACCTCCAGCGATCGGCTGAGACGGTGAAATCCCGCTACGACAGCTGCAACATCAACGCCGATAAACTCCTGCGCAGGATCGACACCGCGCTAGAGGAGCTCCAGAAATTCTCGGTGAGTCCGCGTTACACTACAAGGGTTGTCAACGGGAACGGGAACGAAAGTCATACCTTGCGGCACGACATTGCCCGTGACCAGTAGCTACCGGAGTCTCGAGTTGAGACCCAGGGTGCAGAAGTAGCTTCAGGAACAAAAGAACTGTTTTTGAGAAGAAAGTCTTTTTTTGCTAAACCTCTGTTTCTGCTCATCGCAGAGCGAGACGAGGACCTTTGTCGAGTGGCTGAAATCCGCACAACGTACTCTCCTCGAATTCGAGAAATACTTGGCGAACGTGAGCAATCTCAAGGACAACATGGACCAGTTCAAGCAGTTCTCCACCGACGTGATATCTCATCAGGCCGATCTGCGTTTCCTCACGATGGCTGCCCAGAAGTTTATGGACGAGTCCAAAACTTATCTGCGGCAGCTGAACGAGATCCGTACCGCGCATCCCGACCGTCTGGGTCACATCGAGGCGCACGAGAGCGAAGTCAAGAGCCAGGTGAACGAAATCACCAGCGAATACCAGACCCTGCTGAACCGGGTCAACAAGCTCAGCGAGCAACTCGGCGGTCTCGGCGAACGTAAACGGAACTACCGCGAAGCCGTGGAGAAGGCTACGGTGTGGCTCAACGATGCCCAGAAACAAGCCAAGAAGCTACTCGAGGAGCCGACAGGCGCCGAACCTCGTCAGATTCAGGATCAGTTGGACCGTGTCAGAGCTTTCAACATGGACATCATCCAACAAGGCCGATTGATCGACAACGCCCGTCACGCCGGTGAAGCCCTCATCGACATGCTCCCCGCCGGATCTAGCGAGAAAGTACAGATCCAGGACACGATCAAGAACCTCCAGGACGTCTACCAGCAGATGGTCACTCTGATCAGCGACAAAACCAACGAGCTGCAGATGGCGCTCGTGCACTCGCAGGACATCGAAGACGGCCTCAATCGTCTCCTCAAGTGGATGGACGACGTCGAGTCTCAGATCAAGATCCAGTCCCGACCTGCATCTCTAATCCGAGAACGACTCGACGAGCAGATCCACGAGCACCGCGTGCTCACGCAGGAGATCGAGAGCCAACGGTCCGTACTCGAGGCCATGACCAAAACCGCTCAGCAGGCGAGACTCGCGAAGAAGGTTGAGCAGAAATTGCGCGATATGCACTCTCGCTACGAGAAAGTGCTCGACAAACTCCGCAAGAATGGTCAAGTTCTTGACGAAGTCTCTCACCAGCTGGATCAATTCAACAGCCAATGCGGACGCTTCGAGGACTGGCTCTCGCAGCTGGTCGACGCCATCGAAGAGGCCGGAGCCGCGCGTTCTGCTGAAGAGGTTCAAGCCCGACTGGAGGATGTCATTCGAAGGAAGAATCAGAAGAAGGGAGATTTCGAGGATGTCATGAGGGCCGGAAGGGAACTCACCGGTCGACGAGACGTCACCGATACCTCGATCATAAAGGATCGCCTCCGTCAACTCGAGCAGCTTTGGAAGGAGATGGACATTCGTCTCACCGAGCAGGAGAGAGCCAACCGCCAGAGGATGGAACAACTCAACGCCTACGAAACACTTCGAGTCAAAGTGTTCGAGTGGCTTGCCTCGATGGAAGCCAAAATCGACCGACTCGAGCCAGTTTCGCTCGACAAGGACGCCATCAGGAGACAGGCTATGGAGATCAAGGTGGGCCGATTTTTTCTTTCCCTTCCTCTCTCTCTTCTCAGAACCAGGCATTGAATTCGTAGCCGGAGCTTCGTGAGTCCGGAGCTCTCTTTTCTGGGCGACTGTTTCCGGACGTCAATCCGGTCGGATATCTCAGTTCTCGGAAACATTCGAAATCGATTTTTTCCTCTTGTCCGCAGCCTTTGGTCAAGGAACACGCTGACTACAGACCAACGATCGATAAGGTGAATGAGTTGGGCCGAATCTACGAATCGCTCATCTCCGAAGAGAGGGCCGGTAGCCGAATGTCGCTAAAGAGCAGCCCCACAAGGAGTGAGTACAACAACGGGGGTCACCAGAATGGCCACAGCAATGGCCATCACGGTCCCCAGAGTGACGCTACTTCGGACGATACTGTCGACGCTGCCTCGATCGCGCTAACAAACCCCAAGCACTCCGCTAAGCAAGCAGTGCACGCCAGTTTAAACAAAGCAGGTAGACTAGATTAATTGCTATGCCTTCTACTACTCAATCGACCTTGCGTTATATGTATATAAAATTATATTCAATTTAAAAGTTGATCCATCGAAAACATCATCATCATCATCATGGTGATAATCGCGATATTCGAATCGATGCCGATGTTCATGAGACTAGCTCCGGCGCTCATCGAGACTCGGTTCGCCTTGAAATCCTCGTAGAAATCGTATAAATCCTCTCATAGAATACTCGCTGAGTCTCAGAACACGCCTAAGACCTGGAAAAAATCATCCTGGATCGAGAGTCAGGACTAGGCTCGGGATGATTTGAAGTTCGACGCACGATGACAGGCTCTAATATTTCCCTCGTCGAATCTCCACTCATTTGTGGTCGACGGCGAGCACCGATGTCCTTAGCATAGATTTCTAGTAGTCGTTTCCGTTTCTGTGACTTCTCTCACCTCATTGGCACTTCCATCGAGCATTCCTCTCGGCTCTCTCAAGCTTATCCCCTCGAGATCTCATCTCCCTCAGTCGACTCGGGGGCTAGGTCTTGTCGCGCGTTCCGAAATTCTATCGCAGATTTTTCTTCAGCTTGAGCGCCCCCGTACGATACTGAGTTTTTTCCCTAACGTGCGCCACGCGAGCCGAGTCGAAGACGGATGCCGTCGAAGTGCCAAATGTCTTTTTTGTTCATCGTTGCGTTTGGCTGACAAGGAAGTGTGTCAATAACTTTAAAGATGAGCTTGCCTTACTAAGATTCTAATCAAACGTACTCTTTCTCTCTCTCCTCTTTTCCCTAAACCCGCTCACTAGAAACTGCAATGCCTGAGGTGCGAAGTCCCTTAGCGGAAACTAGCGGTTCTACAAGCGGATTTAGCAGTCGACAAAGTTCTGTTGATCAGTTCGCGTCAATCGAACTCGGTGAGTCTTGCCTGGCTTTTCGATCGGAACTCGTTCGATTCGGTGTTGTTTGTCTTGGGCTGTGTCTTTTTTCTGTCTGTTGGGTCAAAATCGGAGCTTCTTTGTGGCCTGTCCGGAAGGTCCGAGGTTACAGGCCCGATGTGGTCTTTATTGGGCTTCGCTGGCCCCAACGTGTTTCGATGAAGGGTTCGACATCATCACAAAAGTTTAGGGGTCCAGGATTTGAAGCAACCCTCTAAATATTCGAAATTGGAGAATTTTCCGACAGTCGCCGACTCTGTCCGGTCGCCGAAACGATCGGGTTGATGAGGAACAACGAGAGATGGACGCTCATCCTCTCGGCTCGTAATCGCTCTCCGCACTAAAGCTTCAACTGTGCAAAGCATTTCACAAAAAAAAATCGAAATCCTGCTTGAGAAGAATGATAGCTAACATGAGTCTCTTTCCACCTGCTCGTACCTTCAGATGTCAGTCCAGTTCAACAGCAACTCAGCGAGATCAACCATCGCTACCAGATCATCGGAGTGAAACTCTCTGACAGGCAGAGAGACCTCGATGGCCTCGCCGATGAAGTGAAGCGACATCACGACACCATCAAGTCGTTGTTGACTTTCGTTCAGACCAAGGTGAGCCTCGATTCACCTAGCTTCCTGACCATCTGCGAGAAATTCCGGGAGTATACGCAATCAAACAAAATCGACCGTCCGAGTGGGGGATGTCAAACGGAAAACGCATTCGGAATTATGAAGAGAAGCTCACCCTTTCGTATTCGCCTCTCAGGAACGCCAAATGCCGAAGGAGGTCTCACCTGCTTCTAAAGAGCTCGCCGACAAACAATACGCATCCCTGAAAGAGATCCAAGCCGATCTCGCCGACCGTCAGAACGAAATGGACAGGGTCAAGATCGAAGTCACCGACTTGCTCCGCAGGAAACCGAATGCCATCGGAGCCGACAGCCTCCAACAATCCCTTCAGGAGCTCGTTCAGAAATGGTCGGCTCTTCAGGCTCTCATCCGAGACCAGATGTCTCTTCTGAACGATTTCAGAGACTTCCAAGACACGCACAGACTGCTCGACAACTGGCTCAGCCAGAAGGACAAGATGTTCCAAGTGCTCGGTACGTCAGCTTTCGACAAGCGACCGATAAATTCATTAATTTCGTTCGCTCAGTCGCGTATTCTGAAAACGTCCCGAATCACGGAATTCCTTTCAGGTCCTATCGCTCACGAGCCGCGCATGATCACGGCCCAGATGCAGCAAGTCCACGTCATGCGAGATGAATTCACCTCCCAGGAACCTCTCCTGCGCAGGATGAACCAGTCGGGCAATGAGATCTGCTCGAAACTCGGACCTTCCAATCCTGCTGCAAGAAAGGTCAAGGACGGCATGGAAGACATCCGCAAACGATGGGACGAACTGCTCGGTCGTCTCCAGGATCGCGAACGGAACTTGGACGCCGCGACCGGTGCCACGCAAGAGTTCCACAACGCCATCAACAAGCTCCAGGACGCTCTCCAGAACATCAGCGACAATTTCGACCGATTGGCCGACGACGCCGACATCCAGGAACAGCTGAGGCGGTTAACGGGTCTCGAGGACGACCTGGAACGCCAGAGACCTCTGTTGGCCGAAGTCGAAAGCATGTGCGACCATCTCTGCGACATTCTCAGCGATCCGGCCTCGAAGAGCGAGATCAAGAGCAAGTACGCGGCGGCCGACCGTCTGTACAACAACCTCAACAGGAAGATGAGCAACCGTCGTGCCGAGCTGGAGAATTCTCTGAAAGAGGACCGGGACTTCCTGCAGACCGTCAAGGACGTCCAGGACTGGTTCGACGAGATCGACCACAAACTCTCGTCCGATTTCAGAATCTCAGCCGACGAGCACATTCTGCGCCAGCAGATCGAGCGCTACGAGCCGGTTTACCGCGAAGTTCTCGACAAGGAACACGAGGTGCACATTCTCCTTTCCAAGGGTAACGAGATCATCCAGAAAATGGGCAGGAACAAACCCGAAGCCCAACAGGTTCGGGCCAAGATGGACAGCATGAAAAAGAGCTGGGAGAAGATCAAGCGTGAGTGCACAGAACGTCACACACGTCTCCAGACCGCCATGGAAAACTGCAAGCGATTCTATTCGGCTCTCAACAAGTTCGGACCGTGGCTCCAGGGCACCGAGGCCAGGTTCAACGAGCTCAAGGCCCCGTCCTATCTGAAATCCGAGCTTGATAAGCAAATGCGCGAGATCCAGACTTTCAAAAACGAAATGTCCAGGCACGCTATCGACTTCGATAACGTCCGTTCGACCGGGGACAGTTTCCTCGCGTGTACCGATGTCGACAAGGAGAAGGTTCGTGAGGAGCTCGACAACCTCCAACGTCGCTGGGAGATCCTCAGCCAGGCCATCATGAACCGAGCTCAGGATCTCGACGAGATCGCCGCTCGCATCGGCGAATTCAACGACAAGGCCCGCGACGTCGCTCACACCCTGCAGAGAATGGAGGATCGCGCCGCGTCCCACGACGACGGAGCGAGGGACGCTCGCACCCTCGAGAAGATAAAGGCTTTGCTCCGCGAAGCCCACGAATTCCACAAGGATCTTGACCGTCTACGTGCATACGGTGATTCCCTGGTGAACGCTGCGCCCATCGGGTGCGACACGCGCCCGATCTCTGACGCCATGGACGAGCTGGAGCGCCGACACCGAGAGCTGACCAACAAGCTCGAGGACAAGTGCCACGAACTCGACGCGGCCGCTGGAGTTCTTGCGCAGTTCAACAACAGGCTCAAGAGCATCCAGACGAACTTCGGTCATCTCGAGGACGAGTACAACGAGTTCGCGCCGATCGGTCGCGATCTCCGCACGCTCAACGTTCAGAAGTCAGAGATCAGGTCGTTCAAAGACAAACTGCACAGAGCCGCCGAAGAACTCGAACAAGCGGAACGCGAAGCCCGCGAAATCGTCGCCCAGGGATACACCCAAGACGCAAAGGGTCTAAGAACCCAGTTGGACAATCTCAGGAAACAGCTGCTTCGTCTGACGGAAAAGGCCAACAAGCGCGAGGCCGGCATCGATGCCATGATCGAGAAACTGCAGAAGTTCTACGACGATCTGGGAGACGTTTCGCGCAGCCTCAACGAGGCGGCGACCGAAGAACGAAACTTCCGACCCGTGGCTGCCGATGTCGAGACGATCCGTCAACAGCAGGAGGAGTTCAAACACTTCCGCCGAAATTTCGTCGAACCTCTGGGTAAAGCAATCGAGGAAATGAACCGACAGGGCCAGGGTCTGATCCAGTCCGCGCCGGCCGGAGTCAACACCGCTCAGCTCGAGAACGACATCGAGAAGCTCAACAGCGAATGGAATCAACTCAAGGAGAAGGTCAACGAGAGAGAAAGAACTCTGGACGCTGCTCTCCTGCATTCCGGGAAGTTCCAGGAAGCGCTCGCCAGTGTCGAAAAATGGCTCCAGGAGACCGAGGAGATGGTCGCCAATCAGAAGCCGCCGTCGGCCGATTACAAGGTCGTCAAGGCTCAGCTTCAGGAGCAGAAATTCCTCATTCGACTCATTCAGGACCGACAGAGCAACATCGTCTCGCTCATGCGCATGGGTGAGGACGTCATGAAGAACGTTGCGCCGGCTGAGCGTGCGAATATCCAACACACGCTAGAGGATATTCGAGAACGTTACGATAAACTCCAGTCCGGTGCGAAACAAAGAATGGACGATTTGGAGAGGGCCCTTCCCGTGGCCAAGGCGTTCCAGGACAAGATGGCGCCTCTGGTCGACTGGCTCGATCACGCCGAGAAGAAGTTGTCCGCCATGCAGACCATCCCGACGGACGCCAACCGCGCGGCCCAGAGAGCACAGGACCATAAGAACTTGCACCGGGACATTCTCGATCACAAGAGAGACTTCGAAGAGCTCACGGAGATTGCCCAAACCCTCATGGGTCTGGTCGGAGACGAAGAAGCCCAGACGGTGGTGGACAGTCTCCGAGAACTCACGGATCGTTACGCACGACTCGTCGAGGAATCCGAAAGGCTGGAGGACATGCTCCAGAACGTCAAGGAAGGTGAGCGTGCTTTCTTTCTCGTTTTTCCATTTTCATACAATTACCTGAAATACATTGTCGTTATGATTGAGATGATTAAGATTTATTCAATCGATTTCCAATGCTTGATCATGGCATTTCCAGTACTTTTTATGAACTATCTATCATCTATTGCTCATCCGTATTTTCTTTTAAATTCCTTTTCATCATTCAATTTAGGTATTCCCTTCGATGTGCATCGACTCCGTTTGCTCATCGTCAAAATTATTTTCGCTCGATTCCCGTTCAGATTCTCGGGGTTTGAACGTGGGGTGGGCGGCTCTGACGGACTCAGAAGTAATTTCCCTCTCTCGTTCTCTCCTCTCCAGGTATCAAAGTGTTCTCGGAGAACTACGAAGATCTGCTCACGTGGATGAGCGAGATGGAACGTCGACTCCAACGCTACCAGATTCTGAGCGTCTATCCGGAGAAGCTGCAGCAGCAACTCGAAGAGCTTACTGAGCTTGGTGAGGATATCGCCGACCACCAACGGCAAGTCGATGAAGTCGTTTCGGCCGGCCAGAGTCTGATGCGATACGCCACCGGGGACGACGCCTTCAACTTGAAGGATCGTCTCGACAACCTCCAGGCGCGCTACAACGATCTGGCCAGCAAGGCCGCCGAGCGAGTCCGTCAAGCTCAGGAGGCTCTGCCGCTCGCGCAGAACTTCCATCAGAACCACGAGAAGGTTTCCGGCTGGATCGACGAGGCCGATGCCGTTCTGAAGTCGATCGAGAACGCCGGCCTTAACGCCCAAGAGACCGCCATCCACCGTCTCGAGCAGGACATTCCCCAAGTGCGAAACATTCTCGAGGTGGTCAACCACCTCGGACCGCAGCTGTGCCAACTCTCGCCCGGCGAGGGAGCGAACGCCATCGAATCGATGATGACTCGGCTCAACCGACGATTCGACGCCATCTGCGAGCAGATCCAACGCAAGGCCGAACGTATCGAGCTGTCGAAACAACGGAACAGCGAAGTGATCGGCGATCTCGACGAGCTCAACGACTGGTTCCGAGATCTCGAGAAGCAGCTCCAGCACGCGGAACCGATCGTCCCCGACAGGGATGCGCTCCGAGCGATGCTCAAGGAGCACAAGGTCATCTGCGAGGAGGTCAGCAGCCAGAAAGGTCGCGTGAGGGATCTTCTGGCGGCCGCCAAAAAGGTCATGCGCGAATCGACGGGCGAAGACCAATCCCTGATCCGAGACAAGGCCGAGAACCTCAAGGACATCTCAAACCGCGTCTCGCAGCTCTGCGCCGACCGCCTCAGCGCACTGGAGCAGGCCCTGCCGCTCGCCGAGCACTTCTTCGACACCCACGAGGAACTGGTGCAATGGCTCGAGGTGATGGAGACCGAGGCGGAGTTGCTCGGAGCTCCCGCCCTCAACCCGGCCCAGATCAAGAAGCAGCAGGACAAGAACAAGGCGCTGCTCCAATCGATGAACGACCACAAGCCCCTTCTGGACAAGCTGAACAAGACCGGCGCGGCCCTCATCAAACTCGTGCCGATGGAGGAAGGCCGCACGGTGCAGTACATCATGAACCAGGACAACCAGCGCTACAACGACCTCCGCAACCTGCTCAAAACTCAACAGCAGGCCCTTGAAGAAGCGATGCAATCGACGGCCCAGTTCGCCGACAAACTCGATGGCATGTTGAACGCACTCGCGAACACTGCCGACCAGTTGAACAACGCTGAACCGATTTCCGCCCACGTCGAGAAGATCCAGGAGCAGATTTCCGACAACAACGCCATCGTCGACGACCTCGAAAAGAAATCCTCCGCTCTCGACGCGGTGCGCAAGGCGGCCAAGGACGTAATCTCGAAGGCCGACGGGGACGAGCCCGCAGTTCGCGACATCAAAAAGAAACTCTCCAAGCTCAACGATCTCTGGGACGAGATCCAGGGACTGGCGAGCAAGCGCGGCCGTTCGCTGAACGACGCGCTCGCGGCGGCTGAACGCTTCTGGGACGAGCTGAACGCCGTCATGCGAGCCCTGAAAGAACTGCAGGACAACATCAACGCCCAAGAGCCGCCGGGAGTCGAGCCCAGCGCTATTCAACAGCAGCAGGACGTGCTCCAGGAAATCCGCGAGGAAATGGACAACACCAAGCCCGAAGTGGATCAATGCAAGCAGGCCGGCACCGACCTGATGAGGTTATGCGGCGAGCCAGATAAGCCCGAAGTGAAGAAACACATCGAAGACCTAGACCAAGCCTGGCAGAACGTGATGACCCTCTACGCGAAACGTGAACAGAGTCTCGCGGACGCACTTTCGAAAGCGATGGGTTTCCACAACACCCTCCAAGATTTGCTCGAGTTCCTCGACTCGGCCGAGGACAGATTCAGCAAATTGGGTCCGATCGCTTCTGAAATCGGCACTGTAAAGCACCAAATTGCCGATCTCAAGGACTTCAAGGCCATTGTGGATCCGCACATGGTCCAGGTGGAGGCCCTGAATCGGCAAGCCAAAGAACTCACCGAACGCACCACACCCGACCAGGCTCGGCCTATACGTGAGGCCCTCAAAGAGATCAACAAACGATGGGCCGCTCTCAACAAAGGCATAGTGGATCGCCAGAAAGAGCTCGAGAACGCTCTTCTAAGGCTGGGACAATTCCAGCACGCCCTAAACGAGCTTCTCACATGGATCAGCAAGACCGACCGACAGCTGGACGACGTAAAAATCGTCGTCGGAGACCCTCAGGTCATCGAGGTCGAGCTGGCCAAGCACAAGGTGCTCATGAACGACATCCAGGCCCACCAGTCGACCGTCGACTCGATCAACAAGGCGGGCCACCAGCTCATCGAGCTGGACCGCAGCAGCCGGGACGCCGGCGAAACGCAATCGAAACTCGCCAACCTCAACGCTAGGTGGCAGTCGCTTCAGGATAAAGCCAACGATAAGCAGAGGCAGTTGGAGGCCGCTTTACGCGAAGCACAGCTGTTTAGCCAGGAGATCCAGGATCTCCTCATGTGGTTGAGCGACGTCGATCAGCAGCTGGCCTCATCGAAACCGGTGGGCGGGCTGCCCGAGACCGCGCGCGAACAACTCAACCGATTCATGGAGCTCTACAACGAAATCGACGGCAACCGACACAAGGTCGAGAACACGCTGTCGCAAGGACAGGATTTCATCCGTCGGTCGGACGGCTCCGCCACCAACTTGCAGCATAGCCTGAAAACGCTGAAATCTAGATGGGACTCCGTGCTCCAGAAAGCCAACGACAGAAAGATCAAATTGGAGATCGCTCTCAGAGAAGCGACCGAGTTCCACGAGGCGCTCCAACAGTTTGTCGACTGGCTCACCGACAGCGAGAAGTACCTCAGCAATCTGAAGCCCGTTTCGCGGCTCTTGCCTAGCGTACTGGAACAGATCGAGGAACACAAGAACTTCCAGAAGGACGTTTCGGCCCACCGCGAGGTGATGCTCAACCTCGACAAGAAGGGCACCCATCTGAAATACTTCAGCCAGAAGCAGGACGTCATCCTCATCAAGAACCTTCTGGTCAGCGTTCAACACCGCTGGGAACGCGTCGTGTCGAAGGCGGCCGAGCGCACGCGCGCTCTCGATCACGGCTACAAAGAGGCCAAGGAGTTCCACGACTCCTACGAGGCCCTCGACAAGTGGCTTGGCGAGGCCGAGCAGACGATCGAGGACCTCGCAAACGTCGGGAACGACCCGGAGAGAATCAAGCGAACGCTTTCCAAACACAAAGAATTCCAACGCGCTCTCGCCGGAAAGCAGGCCACCTACGACGCCACAATGCGATCGGGCCGACTCCTCAAGGACAAGGCCCCGAAGCAGGACGTTCCCACCCTCCAGAAAATGCTCGACGACCTCAAGGAGAAATGGAACCGCGTCTGCGCCAAGGCCGTCGACAAACAGCGCAAGCTCGAAGAGGCTCTTCTGTTCTCCGGACAGTTCAAGGACGCCGTTCAAGCGCTCATCGACTGGCTGGACAAATCCGTTCCGACTCTCGACCCGAACGAGAAGGTCCACGGCGACCTCGACACGGTCAACAATCTCATCGAGCAGCACAAGCAGTTCCAGGCTGATCTCAAGAATCGACAAGCCAACCTCGAATCGGTTCGAAAGACCTCACGGGAATTGCTCCGAACTGCATCGGCTGAAGACGCTGCCAACATCCGCCACCAGATGTCCGACCTCGAGTCGAAATGGGAGAACGTCATGGGACTCTCGAACCAGAAACAACGTCGCCTCGACGACGCCTTACGTCAGGCGGAGCAGCTGCACAAGTCCGTGCACATGCTTCTGGAATGGCTTAGCGACGCAGAGATGAAGCTCCGCTTCGCCGGACCCCTGCCGGACGACGAAGCCACCTGCAGGCAACAGATAGCTGAACACCAGCGCTCATGAAGGAGATGGAGCAGCAGGAGCACAACAAGGAGAAAACGATCGCGCTCGCGCACGAGATTCTCCAGAAGTGCCATCCAGATGCCGTCAGCGTCATCCGTCACTGGATTACGATCATCCAATCACGTTGGGACGAGGTATCGCAGTGGGCTCGGCAACGCCTACAGAAGCTCGAGGACCATCTTCGCGGTCTGCGTGATATCCTCGACCTTCTGGATGAACTCATGAGATGGCTATTGGGAGCCGAAGCGACCCTCACAGCGCTCGAAGCTCAACCGTTGCCGGACGATATCCCGACGACCGAGCAGCTCATCGACGATCACAAGATCTTCATGGACGACATGTCCCGAAAACAACCGGACGTCGACAGAATCGCCAAGGCTTTCACCACCAAGACGACTCCGCAGACCGCCGCCGCCAAGACGGCCGCCGGCAGGAGCTCGCGAAGTGGACCTGCAGGACGCTCGGGAACTCCCGGAAGAGCCGGAACTCCCACGAAAGGAGCTCCCGATGCTCCCGGGACGATCACCAACCCCCGTGCCCGTGAGCTCATGGACAAATGGCAATCCGTTTGGCTGATGGCTCTCGAAAGACAGAAGCGTTTGCAGGATCACCTGAAGTATCTGAGAGAACTCGAAGGTATCAGGAACTTCGACTTTGACGAATGGAGACGCAGGTTCCTCGGTTGGCTCAATTCCAAGAAGATGCGCGCCATGGACGCCTTCAGGAAGATTGACAGGGATAATGACGGCAAGGTCACCAAGCAAGACTTTATCGATGGCATTATCGACTCAAGTGAGTTCTGTCTTCCACATGTTCATCTCGCGACGATCACCTCATCGATCTCACTCCGGCATTTCCTTCTCTCTCTTGGTCGCGCTCTCTCTCCTCTTCTCGCTCTCCCCTCCTCTCTCACTCCACATTTCTACCCCGTGCCTCTCTCCAACTGCCCCTTCCCCTCCCCCCGTTCCTCGTTTTCCCCCCGATCGCTCATGTCTCCGTGGAGCGGAATTTTCCCTTGCTGCCGATACACCGAAATCCATTGATGGATAATCTGAGGTGTCGTCTGTTTCCAGGATTCCCCACCACTCGGCTGGAGATGGAGCGCGTGGCCGACATTTTCGACAGGAACGGCGACGGTTACGTAGATCACAAAGAGTACATCGACACACTCAGACCGGACCGTGATGTAAGTACTCGTTGCGTAGTTCTGGGACGGTCTTATTTCCTCCTCCGAAGCAGCTCCGACAAGTCCAACCGATTCCTAATTTTATGGTTTTCGATAAGCGACAAACACAAGGATGTTCAAGGTGTATGGTCGGTTCCTGGTTGTGGTGTCTAACAGTGTTTTTATTTGGTTAAGATTTGTGCGGTGCATGGTCCTCGAACGGTAAGTGAGAGAAACTCGGACCACCTTTGCACCTGCCAAACGCGAAGCACTCCTAAGCACAATCCTTTTTCTCCTCCTCTCCTACACTGTTGTTTGCTCTCTCTCTCCATGTCTCCTGGTTGCGGAGGTACAGCGCTCGATTGAGCTCCTTCCCATTTTCACCCGAGAATGCAAATTCACTCCATCGACTCGACTACTGCACGTCGAGCCCTCCCTCCCTCCACCCGTGTATCGAGAGCGAAAATAAATACAAATCCTCGGGGTTCACGGGGAGGGAAGGCTCCCTTTACGCCAACGAGGATCTCCCCTCAACTTGGGATCTATTATAGAGAGTATTATTAATGAAATGCTCTCGGGACTTCGTCTGGAAGTTACTGACGCGCGGGAAATTCTGAGGCACGATATCTTACACTGGCGGGAGACTTCCGTCTTCTACGTGATATCTCGAGGACTCCTCGAGGCTTCATATGATCTACCTCTTTTCTCGTGTGTTCGTCCAACCCTAAATCATTATTTTCGTTGCCTAAAGAAATGACTGGAACCCCGGTCGAAGACCCAGTTTCCCTTTTCTAACGAACCATTCGTCTCTCCTTCTCTCCTCTAGAACCGACCACTTACGGAAGCCGAAAAGATTCAGGACGAAGTCCAACGTCAAGTGGCCAAATGTACCTGCGTCCACCGCTTCAAAGTCTTCCAAGTTGGAGAAGGCAAATACAGAGTGAGTATCCGAGACCGTCGGTGGGCGCCTCTTCCTGGTATCTGCCGATGTCAGACAACCCCTAACCCTGTTCCCGCTGTCTTATCCCTCTCCTTAGTTCGGAGAATCTCAGAAACTTCGCCTGGTGCGTATTCTTCGTTCCACCGTCATGGTGCGAGTCGGAGGAGGTTGGGTCGCTCTCGATGAATTCCTCGTGAAGAACGATCCTTGCAGAGGTGAGTTTCGTGGGCATGGTCATTTCAGGAATCTCGAATATACGGATAGGTATCTATACAATATCTGTATCAGTCAAGGCGAGAAAAGAAAGACAGTCGAGAGAGAGAGAGATCGCTCGGAACGATCGGAACCAGGGACACGCACTTCGGGTTACGGTTCGTCTTACGGATGATCTCTTTTCTCCTCCCCCTCCGTAATTCCTTTTTGCCGTGTTTTGATCTAACTCGACACAGGCAGTCGTGAAGACGCCCTACGTCTAACCAAACTCATTGTCGAGAGGTATCATTACGACACCAGACCTTTTGCGATATGCCTCCCGCCGTATAGTGAATTTCCCCCAAAGTTCCAAACACCGTCGACGTCGAAGAAATAATGAAGACTCGCTGCAAACATACTCGATCTTCCGCGACGAATTGCCATCAGACGTCCATTAGTCGAGCCCGGGTTCGCAAACGTCCCAATTGTGAGAAAACCAGCGGTTAAAACACGACGAAAATCACAGCATTCATATCACAACCAGACTGGAAAACATGAACACCAATCCCTCTTTTGTGGACCGTTTTCTGCTCTGGCCGCCGACGGGCGAATAGATTCGCCTCGCAGAAATTCCGTCCTGACTCAATGATGATTTCCGTTTGTTTGACCACGACAATTCAATGCAACTTTGGTTACTTCTTTTCTCTGAGTTATCCCATCTGCATCGGAACGAGTTTGTGCACCTTTTATCGTATTATGTTGCAACGAGTACGCTTCCCGCGTGATTGGGGAAGCGTAGAACGTCGGTGTTCCTCTTACGTCTCTGATAGACTCGATGGATCGACTGCGAGCAGCTAGTCATCAATCAGAAAGTCTGATTTATGGCTGGCGCGTACGAGAAAAAATCGTGAACGTCGCGACGATCCTAGTTCTAATTTAGTTTCCCAGTAACATCTGGATGCGGCTCGATGTACGCAAGCTTCCAAGATGTTACATGATTGATTGATTGCATGCCTGCGTGTGTCTGCACGATCTAAGTTCCCTCCTTCCTCTGCACGTCTAGCTAAGGGCCGCACCAATGTGGAGCTGAGAGAACAGTTCATTCTGGCTGACGGCGTCAGTCAATCTATGGCTGCATTTAAGAGCAAAGGTCCCGGTGCCTCATCGTTCGGAAAAGGACCCGGTGGTCTTCCGACTCAAGGTCCGATCACTAAGGTGGGTACTTCACATTCGGTTCTCGAGCAAACCCTCACGCTTCGCATGCAGCATGTCGCGCACGGTCCGAGTCCGATCGCTCGCTCGCTCGGCGTCGAAACGAAAAGCCACTGACAGACTGGCTAGCTTAAGAGAAAGTGAAACCGCTCGGCTACGATTGAGACTGCTTTAGTTCGCTAACCGAGAGTTGCTTCTAGACCAACTGTCTAGATTACCGCTGAGTCCGGCATATTTCCGTTCGGTAAGTGGCCCTACCCCTCAGATGGGTTTTGGGGGCGGGCGGTGAATTGATAGACTTGCGCACGGACTCATTTCACGCACCGGTTATTGATTTTATTCACGACGACAGACGAAGGAAACCTCAGAACAATCACGCAAACAACAATATCTTAACAGCTCGGGGATATAGACGGATTCCGGGAAAATCGGAGCTATTCTCCACATCGGTGGTCGGTCTTCGATCCGACTCGACTGACCGATCTCTGAAATACTAACTTCAGGCGCGCTAGGCCTCTCACGTTGCCTCCCCGTACGCACCACGATTCAGCTGGTCGACATCGATGAGCAAGGAGGGAGTCGAGCTCAATCCCTTCCTAGGCCAGAGTCGGCGCCCAGTGTCCACTCGGACAGCTCGGCAAGCTCTTCGCAGTCCCAGCCCGGCTTGCAGGGACGGCAGGTCCTGCAATGGGCCAGGACGATGCACGAGCAAAATAACGCTGCAACGGGCAGCACCGCTTCAAAGTCCAGGATACCCGTCCCATTGAGTATGGTATGGATAAACAATTGACTTCGTACGGAATGCGGAAAAAGAACGACTGCAACGTTCGTTCCTCCGCCTCACGTTTTGATGCGGAGTTTTTGTTCCGTAAGACTTTCGTTCCCTCATCGAATGTGAGAAATTTTCTCAATCTGAGTTCCGCCGACCGTTTTAGTTCCTGTCGCCTTGACGACCATTATGCTGTTGTGTTTGACGCTGCTCCTGAGTTTGTCATTTCGCGTGCCGACTCCGGCCGAGCTCGTTCGAGGCCTTCGCATTCCATCTTCCGCCGCCGGATTTGTACTCTAGCGGCAGGGTGCCTCGTTTATTGACTGAAACGCTTCCCCTATATTCCCGAAACATTGCCACGGGGAAATGTCTCACCTGCTAAGAAATTCTCGCAGCTCGATTAGCACGTTCGTGAACCCCGTAGAGGACTCTCAGTATTACTGATCGCTTTCTTATTGACACAATGACTAACCCATCGCTTCACTCCATGGCATGAACGCACCAATGACGATTTCTTGCTTGGATTGTTTGCTCCACGAAGCATGACATCGTTTTACGCAGTATGCCCAATGACTTCTCCGAGCTAATTGAAGATTGTCCCGTCTAAAGGTTCGTGAAAAGACCGAGAAAAGCATCCCGTTCAGCACCCAGCGAAAACTCGCGGCAGAAAGCGAGTCCGAGAGGTCAACTCCTCTTGGATCTAGACCGAGAACTTCACAATCGCGTTTGACGCCAAGTAAGCCCCAAACTGTGCAATATGGATGTCACTATTCATTCGCCATCTTCCCACCCCGATCGCTTGGCCGCTTTCGAGGATCCGGCTGAGCGACCGAAAAATAATATGTTTCCCCGCTTCATTCATGGCTGATTTTTTTTCTCTCCGTACTTTCAGGCCTTGGCGGCAGTCGTCCTTCGTCGCGCCCTGCCAGCAGGGCCAACAGTGACCTGTCTACCGAGAGCCTGGAAGGATTCAGACGCCGTACGCCCAGCGCCTCTTCGGGAACCCGCATCCCGACACGTAGAACACCTTCGATGACTCGGCAGAAGAGTGATCTGCAAGCTCGCGAAAAAGGGTGGCGTTAAGTAGCTCGCCCGTCTGCTCACTCGTCCCTTCACTCGAGTCACAGCGCTGCCCATACGTAGCCATCTGCAGACAACAGCTGTCTGTGACAACACCTACACAACCTGCCGCAAACGCCTTTATCGATGACCATGAGCGATGAGGAAAAAGCGTCGAATTGAAGGACGAGAACGACATCTACTGCGACCACGGACTCCGGGACAAAACTCCCGGACGACGTGTCTTTCCAATATCAACAACAATCCGCCCGCGAAGGATTCGTCCGATCGCTACAGAAGAATTTTCGATTTAGCTTTAATAATGTAGATGGTAGTTTGATGGAGACTGCATGTTCCGAACGATCGTGCACGACTGCCGTGATGACTGCGTGTGACCCAGATCGATCCTGTCGGGCGTTCGCCGAGATCCGACTCGCTGCCGGTCTTCTCCAGGGACCGGTTCCGACTTGGATCTCCCGCAAAATGGAGGATTAGAGCCGTTCTGGAAAGTATCTCTCCGAAGAGCTTTCTCCAGGAGCTTCTCGGAGATTGGACTTTCTTCGAAGACGCCGGGAGCGAAATCGAAACCATCAGCTGAACAGCGAACAGTCTGACGGGAGCAATGTAAACTAACGGATTGCTCATCCCCTCCGATGATCATCTTAATTTTGATTATTAACTTGATTATTAATAATTGAGACCTCTCGACCCCGAATTATTTATTAACGACCTCATGAATGATGACTGATAACTGACCGACAATTCATTTAGACACTGACTCCGCGATGTAACGCTAGTCGAGAAGACCACAACAGTTCTTGGCCCTCTACCTTAAGACATTCCCTATGTTCAAGAATGAAACGGAAACACAAAGGGGAAGAAGAGAACAACATCTACATTTGCATTGAGGACGATAGAAAAATATGACTGAAAGAAAGAGAGAGAGAGAGAGGATAATAGACAGACAATTGAATAAGAGCGTTAATCGAATTCTGCAAGTGGCCGCTTCGAGTCCACAGCCTTCTTGAGCGAGTGACGAAGCCTCGCAAAACAGATGTGTATTTTTGTGCCATCTCAGACCGCCCTCTTTTCCTTCGATCCATCCCTTCCCTACATTCTCACTCTACATTTCCGGAACGCTGAGAACGATCGATCGACATGACGATCAGATGTGTGCACCGGCAACGTTGTAACATGTATTATACATACAACTTCCACGAGCGAGTTTTCACATCATTTCCGGATCTGCCGTATGCAGAAGGACGATGATCAATTCTCCACTTGTTGATGAAGCGATTCGACAAGGAGGATATTCATCGAACCGATGTATAAGAGCTGTAGGCAGCAAGAAACATCAATCAAGGGTCCGTTTTCCCACCGCACTGTACAACCAGCTTGGCCGAGAGACGGCTTGCAATGACGATGCTTAATAAAGAAATGAATTTATATTAACAATTTATCCGGTATCCTCTTGAATGCGACACTCTGTCCATTGGGGAAGATCTGAAAAGAAGGCGGTTCTCGTACTTCGAGTCGGGGTCTTTGTTTTTCTGTGCTCACGTCCAGCACTCTCATATCGACTTGCGGGTATGTTTGTCCACCGTTCGCGCCTTCGAGCTTGTTTGCTGCTCGGGCGGCAACGGCTACATCGGGGATTCTATGGAACATGCTCACAATCTCCCAGCCAATACGGAATCTGGACCTCTCATCGCATTTTTGGCACTTCAAAGTTTCATTTTTTCATTAACCACACTCCGACCAGGAAGGAGTTGTTCGATCGCGAAAGAGATATTTATTCCTTATTCCGCTGCCACAATTCGGACGGTCGTATTATGGAGATTGCGTTTCGTCAACGATGGTGAACGACTGCCGATGCCGAGTTGCGTACGTGGAATGCCGGTCAATCCTCTCAGATGTTCGCCCGAGCTCGACTTGCTGCCGGACTCCTATGACGACCAATACCGATTTGTAATCTTCTCCGAAAGGGAGTCTTTGGGCATTCGCAAGGAGTATTCTCCTGAGGAGCTTTCTCGAGAGCCTCCCACAGCTCAAACTTCAATCGATAAGAAAGAGAGCGGACTCGTGTTATGGATCCCCCTGTGCCGTTACGGACCCCTCTGAGTTCGGAAAAGAATTCTAGTCCGATCGCACAATGTCACAATTTATTGGTTATCTTACTCACGGAGATCGCCCGCCTCGTGCGCGGCGTCTCTTCTACGCACTAACTCTTCCGTAGATGCACATGTTGGTCTGACTGAATCTATGTGCGCGCGACGTTTTGCGACGTGCGCGCAACCCTACAAGCGGCCCGAAGCCGGAGACCCGAAATACCTACTGCCTTCCCTAACACTCGGGATCATAAATCATCAGCTTGGCTAAACCAGCGAACATTCTGCCCAGGATAGTGTCGACAAGGGAACCAACTGTCCATTCCTTCCAGCGATCATCTTTATTATCATCGAGTCTATGAGAGTTATTCGAGTATTTCATTGTCGCTATTTTAAAACATCCATCCAACTCCCTTGGAAGTTGCAGCCTGTCTCCGATGGTCCTTTTCATTCCAAGCCGAGACGGTCAGAGTTTCGGGAAACTGTCGCAGCTCGGATCCTCTTCTTTCCGTGCAGGATTTCAAGCATGAGGATTGAAAAACCCATGATTGCCAAGAGAGCGTACATTCCAAACGTGATCGCATAGCTGTTGTAGTCACTAGTCTGACTACGTTCAGCTCCCGGTCGGAGGTCATCTAAGGAGAAACATCTGCCAGCTGCCTGCCCCGAGTAAGGCTTGCAGGTTTTCTTGTGATACTCCGCCGCAATCGGGTATCGCAGGTATCTCTGGAACTCTCGCTCGGCATTTCGATGGTCAACATCCCAATGTCCTTCGCTATAAACTCGCTTCAACAAACCGTGTCTGAGAGCCAAATTGGCGATTCGGAAACAGCAGTAGCCCGCAATGGATTGTAAATCGGCGTGACTGACGACTGGCCGATTGGCTGAATTAGCGTGAGTAAGGTGATTCCGCTCAGACCAAGGTGCATGGCGCTTCCGCACAAGCATCTCATCGATTACCAAGGACTCGAATGCTTCTTCTCTCGCTCCCAACCTATACATTTGGACATCCTTCATCAACCTTTCGCGAAAGGGACCGAACCCTTCCGTATTCTTGCAGATCACGTTCCCTCGTACGATGGCTGCGATGCCAAGAAACAAGAATTCGCGCAGATCTGAATCGATCACGTAACCATAAGTATTGTTCATTTCTGTCGAATAATCCAGTGATAGGCAACCGCGAATGGATCTAATGCGTTTATCTGGCAAACGCTGCATGGCGGTAACGAAGTCCCCCTGGAAGCCAGTCCTGATGATCTGTAACAAGACAATCCACGTGCCCAGGACTAGGAGAACTTTTTTGCTTTTCCCGTGGAAATGCATAGATACGGGGGAAATTACGCAGAAAATCAATTGGAAGAGCACCGCTCCGAAGTCCTCCTTCATGTACCATAGCAGGACGCTAGCTGCCAATGAGCTGGAAAGTATCGGCAGCAGAATGTCCACTCGCAGAAGAGACTCGATCATTTGTGGTATTCTGCTTGCAGATGGCACTCTAGCCACCGCGATCAGGGATACGTACGATGAAACCCGCGCCAGGTCTAGGACATTCGAACGGGATGTCGGAAACGAGTTGCGCAGATGGAGTTCGAAGGAAAGGTTCGCCTGTTGCTTGTCACGCAGATCGAGGCGGAATCCCCAGGACGGTCTCGCTGAAAACCCAATCAGTGTCTCGAGTTTGATTCTACGAAGCTCGAGTTTTCGGATCGATGATGGGTTGAAGCTGAAGCCAGTGAGCTCTTTTCGGTTTTCGTGCTCAAGGATGCTCAAACCTAGAATTTCGCTGTACCAATGGCGGATTGCGCCATGAGAACAGTCAATGCTTATTTCATTGGTTTGATCGTCCCAAAAAGCGTATAAGTGCACCTTATCCTGGCTGAAGGAGCTCCAGCGGCATTTCGAAGCCCATCGGTCTCTAGCAATCCACAACAAGACAAAACGGTCCGAAGGGACGACCACATTGACGAGCATGGCTCGCAGCCGGATCATAAATGAGAAGGGAGGCTGAGATTTGGTGGGCTGAGGCTGACAAAATAAGCCCAAGTTGAAGCGATAGTTCTTAGTTGAGAGAACTTTTGAGAAGGATGCCATGGTATCGGCAGAGACTACGACCATCAGACCGGTGCCGAGTGAGAGTTCCAGGTGGGAAGCGATGAGTTCGCCCATGAAATCTGGCGCCAGATCACAATTAATATTGATGAGCACCGGTGGCTGGGGGACACTGTTGGATGAGAGCATTTCGCTGACTCTACTCTGGACGTTCCGCTCGAATTTATTCTCGAGGATCGATATCGACACTCCATCCACTGCGCAGAGGAACGCAAACCGATGCAGCGTTCGCAGAACTCTCCGGATCATCATGGTGGAGTAATTTTTTTCTAGTCCTGCTACCTTATTACATTATCCGGGGATCACGGGCTCCGACAGTGGATGCGGCTCCACGATGCGGCGGTTGGGTTCAACTACTTCGCACGAGTAGATGTTCGCTTTCCGATGCTTAAGATCGAAACTTCTTCGCGTATGGTTGACGGCTTTGTGGGATATCGAGTAAAGTCGAGTAGCAGCGAGTGTTGTCGCGACGAGCTCCATCGATTCAGCTGATGACATCATTGATTTTCCCATTCGTGAGGAGGATTCGAAGTCTCACTCGGTGCGGGAATCGAGTCAAGACATCAATAGCTAGAGCAGTCTTTGTGTAAAATACTCAGGAATCGAGATATCAGCCCACGTCATAACTCATTACAACACGCAGATGAGCAATGTGATCTCCACCTCAGGGTAGCGATTCAAGGACGCCGCGCATTCAGAGGCATTGCCCAACACTGCCGGGAGTTCTGCTCAGAAATGGACTCGGCAAGTTTTCCATCGATTCATCGGCCCTCATAGTATCAAGCGAGCGGCGAATCAGGTCAATTC